GGCGCGTCGGCCCAAATTGCGTTCGCTCCCAATGTTACGGAGACAGAAAAGCACGCCGAAGACCTTAAATTGTTGCGATTGCGGAACATCGATGGATCAGTTCAAGAGCACAGGGTGTTTGTCACTTCATGGTTGGAATTCGGCGTGCATGAAGCCCGACGACGCTATCTGGATGCTTTGCAGACGGCAACTGGGCCAGGTATCAAAGAGTTGCCTGACCCTTGTCTCCCTAGTGGATTGCGTACTACACTTGACGGCAAAGTCGCACCGGCGAGCGAGACGGAAACCTATCTACTAGGTACAGGGAAATTTGATGAATGTCTTCGTCAGACGTTCCCATTGCTGGACAAGGATGCTCCGTGTGCGGATGAACCGTGTCTGCTCAACGGTATCCACGTTCCAGCTATCGACTTCGATGTTAACCATTTTATCGGAATCAGCGAGTACTGGCACACCACTCACGAGATTTTCGAAATGGGATACAAGGACAAAGCATACGACTTCAACACATATCAGGAACGGGTCCAAACGTTCTGCTCTCAAGATTGGGACTCCATTGAGCATGGTATTGAGCAGCACAAATGGGGAAAGAAAGTCGATCACCAAAAGGCCTACGAAGTATGCTTCAAGGCATCATGGATCATCAATATGCTGCACGATGGCATTGGAGTGCCTCGCGTGGGGTTGGAAGATACAACTGGCTCTTCTCACAACGGCACTAAAGAAGTCTTGGCTCATGGAAAAGAAAAGGGATATCTTGATGCTTTCCAAGCGGTTAATAAGATTGACGCGACCGAAGTGAGTTGGACTTTGGGCAAGATCGTCTTGTACGCATCTTCTCAGGTTCCTCTAGAGATCGAAGACCAAGGTCTTCCAGTGGGCTTTGGCAGCAATGTTCCTGGTGTCCCGGCCGACTTCCAGTATCCCAGTGTTCAGCTATTACCAGACTCAGATGGCTTCCACAGTGAGCACTGGCATGACGCATTATTTGACGGTGATTCTCCGCGCCGGATTCCAGGCTTCATCCTCTTCATGCTCATTGTTGTCGTGGCTGCCTTCTTCTTGTGCGGACGCAGTCGTCGATCGCGGGTTTTTAACCGTATAACCAACGTGTTACGCCGTGGTGGGCCATCGCACCCCAATCATCCGAAGAAACGAAAGGCACTTAAGTCGATGTTGCCATTCATCGGTCGAAGTACCCCCTCTTACGAGCGAGTCCTCGAGGACGGTGCTCAAGATTACGAACTTGATGCCGTTGAGTCCGACGGGAGTGAGGATGGTGGACGTCTTTCTGAGATAGACTCAGATAGACTGGGACCCCCAAAGCGAGCATCAAGCTGGGGCAGCAACAGCAATCCTCCCAGTTTCAAATACGCGTTAGACAACAGTTCGACCGGGACGATTGGTCTTGGGATCAGCGGCGGCGGCGGTGGCTCGGGCATCGCTATGGACCGAGCAGGCTTGGTAGTCAGGACGGAGAGCAGGGACCACCTGTCTCCCATTGCTCTAGGCCCTACAACCAACGGCCGTCGATCAAGAGCCGGCAGTCCGACAAGATCCCACCAAAAATCACCTAGCATGACGCCCCTGGCCGACGACTAATGCGACATATCCACCTGATCTGAATTTTGCATAATCACTCACACTGCATCGCATTTTCACTTGGAGTTTGATTTCTTGACATGCATCGACTCATGTCGGCGCTGTTTTGTTTTTCATATGCAAAGGGAGTTCACATCTTTTTATTGAGGCTTTTTATCGAGTCGCGTGCTTCGTGGCAGCCTGCCTTCGATTCTTCATATCATATTTCAACCCTGTACTCTGGAGTACCTTTTTGTTTGTTGGTTGCGGTGCTTTGGGTCTCAGGGAGGTGGTTTACACGTAATAAGGTGTGTACTATTAGAAGATGTCGTTCCTGAATATAGATTAATACATTGCCAAGGCCTACTCTACGTTTAAACTACATATCGATAGGTACATACATCCTAGTACTGATAAGCATAGCCTCATCAAATGCTACCTACCTACCTAGTAGCCCCGATAGTTACCTAATACTGTTTGCATGTTAAATCACTAGCTACACATGGATGGATGAGTTGGTTAAATATGTACTCTGGAACAGTTATGGATATTTGTACCATATTTGCAAGGCAACAAAGTGTCATGTGATAGTGGTGTCACCGCCTGGCAAAAATGATGTAGAGAGAAACCGGCGCATCGAGCTTCTGATTCATTCGTTGCATTGATTCACCAAGCTTGTTCAACATACTTCCACAGCACTCCATCCATGTCGGCACAATAAAACTTACATTCTCATACACATCCTACCCCCAGAAACAGCCACCACCGCCACTATGCGCTTGACTGCTGAGCTTATCCAAAGTTCCCTAACATACATCAATCCGCTCACAGATCGCGAGCTGGATCTCCGAGGTGCGTTCACCCACTACACACCTACCTGAAAAGAACAGGTACTACACTTTTGATTAAGAGCTGGATTGATATCGTCTTTTTGTGTGGTCGTGTAGGTCACAAGATCCCCACAATCGAGAACTTGGGTGTCGCCAAAGTAAGTACTGTTTCTTCCAACCAATTGATCTGATGTTGACAGTTCGTAGGATCAAGATGCAATCGACTTCACCGATAATGACATCTCCTCCCTTGGAAACTTCCCTCACTTTCCTCGCCTCCGCACCCTCCTCCTCGCCCGCAATCGTATCAATCACATCCAACCAGCACTCGCAACTTCAGTGCCTAACCTAACCACTCTGGTTCTGACTGCAAACAATGTGTCCGAGCTTGCCGACCTAGATCCGCTGCGGACATTGGGACGGTTGACGCACTTGACCCTTTTGCAAAACCCGGTGACACGCAAAGAGGTTTGTCTAGCCCTCAGCCCATAATATACTAGTCAGACCTGGCTCATATGTGGTATGGCCTGGACTCTGTTGGAAGATAAGCTAACTGGTTTTCTTGTAGAACTACCGCTACTGGACTATCTGGCGCATTCCCTCCGTCCGATTCCTTGACTTCCAGAAAGTGACCGACGCCGAGCGCGCTACAGCTAAAGAGCTCCTCGGTACCTACGAGGAACCGTCATCCCTCGCATCCAAGATTATGGGTGTCAAGTCCCGCACTTTCGACGTCTCCACCCCAGCTGGACGTACCCCCGCCGAAAAGGGTGTTCGAGTACAACTCACCGACAAGGAGCGCAAGCGTGTTGAGCAGCTGATTCGCGACGCAAAGAGTCTGCAGGAGATTACGAAGTTGGAGAAGGAGCTTAACGAGGGACGTATACCCGGTGGAGCTGATTTCGATGGTGACGAGGCCATGCAGATGTGAGAGGTGAGGTTTGGCTTTTTCTCACGGATTGTATCGCGGATCATGAACTTAAAATCACGTTTTATTGTCTTCCTCTTCTTCTCGTCTGCGGCTTAGTTTTCTGGGGGTTCTTTTCTGGCCGGGTGGTGTTTACTGTGTATCGTGTATAGGTAATCAGTTATTCATGGGCTCCTAGTTTGGGATTAGAAAAAAAAAGATCCTTGCTATGAATTGTGCGCATGTCGAATCCAAAAGTCCATTCCTTGGTCTTTTTCCAACAGAAAATATGCAGTTAGTCTATCGGGCTGTGTCTGGAGTAGCAATAATCAACGTACTCTACACAGCATTAAGCCTAAATGTTCACTTGCTAGCTATTCTTTGCTTGACGGCCTCGCGACGCATCCATCGGCCAATGGTTACAGATACCATTGATCGGCGTACGGATAGACATCGTCTGGGTTAGTCCATAGCGTGCGCCATAAGGGGGCATTGGACAAGTCTAGCTATCTTTAAGGATCTTACATTTTTATACATTTATTATATATTGAATTTCGCATTTCGCATTTCACGTATCACGCTATTGAGTCCGAGGAGAAAGTAGGATTGTCTTTGCTCTCTATAGCTTCACCACTACTGTCTTGTATCACTTTAATCCCTGTGACATCCCTGTGAAGTATTGAGTTTGAATTGATTAACTAGAGACGTAGTTTCAACGCAAAAATTAAACGATACATGCCAAATCCTACAATTTTGCTTCAGCTCCAAATACATAGGCCATTATGATACTCCGGGATCATTCATACTTAGGATCTTCGATCCTAGCCTTGTAGAATTCGGCATCATTCCACCCTCTCTTGTCCATCACTGTCTCGGGTGTGCTTACATCACTAAACGACACATACTGTCCCATATCACCTTTTGCCCCTCGTACCCAGGCATACTCCCCAGAAGGATGTTTATCAACCCGCATGAGGCCATCAAAGTCCCCACTATTTGTGTTGTATTGATACGTAGCGGCTGTATAGCAGAATGTCATCATCCTTGTAACTAGTAGAAAGATCGTGACCATTTCTCGCCCTGTATTTCACTTTAGATAAAGGGATTGGCTTTCCATCCTTCCTCAGTTCGATTTCCTTCCCTTTTCCCACCCCCATTATACTTGCGCAAGTAATCTCCTCGATAGCCCACACCTTGTCACCATACCAGAGCACCCCATAAGCCTTCAGAACAGTATATTCATGGCTCTTTTTGATTTTTTTAGGTTTTTGACATCTGACGCATTGGTTGGAACGTACAACATTAACTTATGGGAGGCCGAGCTTGCGGCAACAGATGCTGGGAGATAGGAGATTTGTTCGAGAGAATGCGGGTTGCCATCGGGTATTGCTGACCAGACGAAGTCGTCTATCGTTGTGATTTCTGCCCTGATTTGATATCTATCATGCGAAATTTGCCTCCTGGTGCGGCAAATAGAGCAACTAGGCCCCGGTCAGCTGTCTTCCGGATTTTTATTTCAGAAAGGTCGGCCAGAACGTCCTTTTGCTAGGGCTATATGGGTGTTCTGTGTCTGTTTTAAGCTGATCGGAGAAAATGGTAGCTTGGTAATCGCCCGTATTCGATTACCTCGGCATCCTGACACTCTGCAAAATGTAATTGAGGCCGACGACCATTACTCTAGTATGTGCAAGGTTTCGGCCATGCGTTTTGTGCAGCAGCAGCTTCCGGCGGTAGTTGTACCTCAAGTGTATGCTTATGAGGGACCCGGATCATCACTGGCTATCGATGCTGGCGCAAGCTATATGCTTTTAGAGAGTTTCTACGGGAATACCTTACAGGATACTGCTTTTGATATTTGCAGTCTGTCTGTAAGTGAAAAACTTCTTGCCGTGTTTTGCAATTTATCATATTATTCCCTTGGTAATATACTTCCCAAGTCTGTTATAAGATACAAAAAAGGCTCTAGACTGAAATTCAAGAGCATATCACTATTCAGTGGACAAGTGTCCAGGTCTAACTAGCAAGTTTGACATATCCACTGATAGGCTCCATCCCTTCCATCACTGAGGCCGGAGAGCCTGTTACTGAGAAGTTGTCTATCGCGGCCTCCGAGGGACTTGTCCCTCCCGGGCCTTTCTTTGATACCAGCGAGTAATTTACCGCTATGGGACAGGCTGTACTCCGCAGAGCGGATTGTCCTGATATGAGCCATAAAAAAGGCTCTAGTTATGCACTTTGTCAAACTTGGGGCCTTGGTCTTCCTTGACATAGTTCGAACCACCCATTTGTTCAAGACATCTCTTACCAAAATATCCACTTAACTATATGGATATGGAGACACAGAATATCCTCGTTGACGATGATTTCAACTGAATGGCCCTAATTGACTGGAAATTCGCGCAAACTGCCCCTTGGGAAGTCAACCATTACAACATGCCTTTCCCACTGCTGGATCTAGACGAAGACATTCGAAACATTTTGAATGACCTAACGTATCCCGCGTGTGGCAATGTATCGCGACAGGATTTGACCCGCAGACTGTACTGCCGAAAATTCCAGGATGCCAAAACGACACTTGAAGGGGAGGGACGGTTCCTTGATTCCTTGACAAGGAATTTGGCGAGGTATTGGAAAGTTCAGCATCAAGGATTTACGCTTGTTTCACAACCCTCCGGGGGTCTCCAGAGAGTGATAAAATCTATGTTCGTGTGATGGTGCAGCTGGCATTTGGGGTTGATAATGAAAAAAAAAAAAAAAAAAAAAAACTGATCAGTACCTGAAAGATATGGAGTGCATTTTGGAATGAGCAGAGCAAAAAGTGGGTACATGACGATGACAAGATCCTGATACAATTAAATGATAAAGGCCAGGAGTCTTTCCTTGTTGAGAATTTCTCCTTCCACTAATCTGCCCGTCTCAGTGACCTCGCCATTGACTTGCTGATAGCGTACCAGGGCGGGAATATTTTTAGTGTCCCACGTTGTTCGATAGAAATTATGAGGGTCCTTCCATCTGATAAATATTAGCTTAACGTACCAGAGAACATGTTTTCAATGTAATTTGGAAATAAGATATTGTTTAGATGGTAAAACTTACTCGGGCTTTTGTCCAACCTCGACAATAGCTAATGCCGGCGCATCATCTCCAGCAAATGCGTTATTGATATGTGGCAGAGCATCCCGTACATCTGGACACCAAGGTTGTTTGGTAATTGGATCTGGTGAAGATATGAAAGCAATGAATAATTTTGAGTTCGGGCTTAATGCCAGCTTCTTCGCCGAGCTTGGCAGTGTGAAATTCTTGATGATTGGCATTCTTGCTTTGGCGTATTTAGTTCGAACTTGGGTCCAGAGCGTGCAAGAAGTAGACAATAAAGATTTGTTCAAGATATGAAGTCGAGGTATTTACAATCAGATAGGCAATTGTGGCTTTTGCTGACTTTATGACTAAGCAAATCACAACTGGTGCGTGAGGCTTTCCTTTTGCAACCTATGCACTTAGTACAACTGTCAATCTAACCTCTTCATATAGTCAAGCCTTAGGGTTCAGTTGCCTCTAGCTATGAAATCTATTTCCTGATTTTTATTGGACTATGATCTACATATAATGCATGTGCTGAAATATGGATATGCTCGTATTCTGGAAGACCTTGGGTTCAGTCCCAGCCCCTAGCGTGTTTTCCGCCCTCATTTAGATATTGGATCAAAATTGTCAGCCGTAGCATTCAACTTGTCCACCCTGGATGAAGTCACCGGTTTCTGTGCACAATCAATCCATCAGACTTATTCTCAATTCTCTTGATTATGGGTAGGGAGATCATTGGGCTTTGGATTTTTCACGAAGGGACAACTTCGGCACTTTCTTGAATCGACACTTGAGGCTCGTGGCAACGTTGTGTATTTTGTTTCGCCTCAATAATATCCTTAATAGGGCCACCCTTACCTTTGAAATATCCGTCAGTTTGAGTCTCCATCATTGCATTCTTTTTGAATTCGGCCTTCGGCGCTCTCTTATGTGGATTTCAATGGCCGTGGGTCGAGGAATGCTTCTCGGTGCTGGACGTAAGGAAAAATACCAGACACTTATGTACGGACTTCTCGTCAACCAGGCCATCCCAATAAAAAATACGAAGTAGCCGATGGTTTGTACAGGGGAAGGTCGCCAGGATAGTGGAGTGAAAGCTTAATCGGATTGCTTGCCTTTTTCGGTGGTAGGTTTTTGTAGATGGGAAGTTGTGGCTCAATCTTGATCGTTCCACTCGAGTCCCGTGGTGAGGGACATGTTGTGCTGCGAGTATAAAATGCTGTGCATACTAGGATCGTCTAGGCGAAGTGATATGATAGGACGGTAGTTAATGCCACGAAGGCACTCAGCCCTGACATAGCTGCGTTCGCGGTCCACTTGACGAAAAGATCATGTCTTCGAGGCTGTGGTTGTGTCCATGTGGGAGACACTAGAAACCAGATTACCGTTGTACTACCGTTGAAATACTAAAATTCGTAATACTATGGTAGTAAGTGCATTGTTTATGGAATACTAAAGTTATACGGTATAAATATTAATACTATATGCTCTTCCTAAATACCCTTCAAATACAAATGTCAACGGCAAAATACCCTATAAATGCGTATTTTCTATCAACTCGTAAAGTATGATGCTAAAATACTAAAATTTAGTGAATTAAATACTATAAACTAATAAAATACTACTCAAATACCTTGGGGAGTATGAATACTATTAGTCATCCCATACAACAGCTCCTTCCTCCAGAGTAGTAGATCAACAACATCAGCTCTCACCTTCGCAAATTAGGGACAGATAGCTCAGTTAGTTAGATAGCCAATATTAATTCCGCAGCACGCGGGTTCGAGTCCAGCCATTACCAAAAAAAAATAAAAAATAGAAGTAGTCTGTAGTAGTAAATAGAGAGTAACAAATATAAAGTACACTTGATATTAGACCCCCATAGTAAAAGTACGTACGTAAAGTATACGTAGTAGTAATCTAAAATTAGAATACATCCATACATTATGTAGGTATGTATTATTTTTGAAAATCTAATACTAGTAGAATACTAGTAGAATGCCAGTAGAATGCCAGTAGAATGCCGTCGTACTACCGCATTGTAGGTAGAATACGTATTTATCTAGGCAATATATAATCTATAAAATACCGTGTTTACCGCATTCTTAAAAGATTACTGTATTAAACTAAATACCAGATTACCACTATCACTATACTGGTATTTCGTTTTTTAGTGTCTCCCGCATGGGTCAAAGTAATGTGAAGACTTACATATATACGAACAGGGGAGGAGCGATAAGCCGACTTCCACACCTGGGCAGAAAAGTGAGGCTGATATTCCATTTATTTTCGATAGAATTGGATATTTGAGTATATCTAGATCATAACTTATTTTCAAGCTTCCTCACTCTTGACATTCACTGACTGTCTCTCGGCTTGCCAACCATTAAATGCGTAGATCGCACTCAGGAACATCCCCAGCCCACCAAGACCAACGGCTAAATATAACGCGCCCCTGTATCCTTTCAGAACATTGTCCGGAGTGTGGCCTCCATTGTTGACATGGACTTCCACAGTTCCGGCGAGTCCCAAACTCAGCGATATACTGTAGTTGACAACAGTAGTCACCAGTGATGCAGCGACACCCTGATGCTTGCGCTCAACTGCATTCGACAACATCAGAGTCGCCGCAGGGAAAGACATATCCATACCCCAAGGGGTAACCAACAAGCAAACAAATGTCAGTGCCCAATAGGTTTGGTGCACTGGTGCTATCGCTATCAAAACATTGCCTAATGTGAATGCACTCATCGACAACACCATGATCAGGGCGGGGCGCATCCGGCCCATCAGCCACCCGGTAACAACACATGCGGCGATACCCACAGGGCCAACGGGAACGAAATGGGCAGATGCTACGAGAGGAGTCACCTGGCGGAACACCTCTTCAAATCGCCAGAAGTAGTAGATCCAAATCCCAAATGAGCCCCAACCGCAGGCGACACAGCCAAGGACAAACGAGACATCGCGACTGAATGCGTGGAACGGAATGAGGGGATGTTCAGCCACTCGGAATTCGACATAGAAGAAGGCGGCAATCAGCAAAATTCCAATGATCAGAAGGATGTAGATGTAAGGCTCGCTCCATCCCACGATAGGCGCCTGGTTCCATGCAATGTTTACAAGCACTAGGCCACCGATACCGCAAGCTCCACCGAGTAAATCGAGAGCTTTGAGTAGCCCCATGAATGATTTGTTAAAGGGGGTGCCATGGTGAGTGGACGGGATCACAAGCAGGCCTAATGCTGCGCAACAGAGGGCAACAATAGCCTGTGTCCAATATGTCCAGGGCCACCAAGCCAACTGAGAGAATATGGCACCGAAGAGAGCCCCCAAAAGGGCACTGTTTGGGGCAGTGGCCCCAAAGACGGCGAAAACCATATTCTTTCTCTTCCCTGGTTGGTATGTAGCTCCAAGAAGAGCCAATGCGTTGGGCATCAGCAATGCGCCACCGATGCCTTGGAAAACACGTGCAAAGATGAACAGGATATAGTTCGAATAGACGCTGAGACCTGCGACAAGAGACCAGAGCGCAACCCAACAAAATCCAATGATAAAAATTCGACGATAACCGAAGAGATCGCCGCACCGGCCAGACACCAAGATGAATGTGCCAACAGTCAACGAGTACCCAGCCATGAACCAGCTCAAAACGCCAGGGTCATCGATACCAAAGCTCTCGCCGATAATATCAAGTGGCGAAAGACATACTCCGATATTGGTTTGGGTCATAAATTGACCCATGCAAACAATGGCAATGAATAAGACCTCGTGTATGGGCGAGAAGGTTGAAGCGAGGGATTGCGCCGACTCGACTGGGTTTAAATTCATGTCGTTCCCCATGATGAATCACAAAGATAAATATAACCTCTCGAGGTGTTGGGAAAAAGAGTGAATAGTGATGAAGGGGAAGAGGATTTGAGTCACGGTAGTTCTTTCTTGAATCAATCTCGTATTTTGTTGGGTTGCCACCAGCCCTATGGCGTTTGAAAAAAAAAAAAAAAAAAAAAAAGGGTCTCCCAAGGAGATGAAGATAATAATATTGCTGATTAGTAGTCCTGTCAAAAATCACAACCAACACCCTTTTGTGGGCCACATGGTCAATTTGCTCCACCGTTGACCGCGAAAGATGTTCGGCTTCGGAGTTAAGTTGAATCATATCAGCAAGATCAATTCCGAGACTCCCAAACACCACAATGAGGTTATTCTGGTTACTCAGTAAGTATATCCGCATGTTGGAGAAATGGAGAAAGTTAGAAAAGTCATCCTTCATTGGATGGCGTTGGGTGCCGATATTTCACGGAATCTATGGTATCCGATGCTTCGGAAATCCACGTTCGTTTACGCGACAGTAATACCCAAATGCTTCTCTAGACTTTGATTCTATCACATATTTAAAAAGCATTGTAAATTTACATCTATGAAATCACCTGACCTATTTGCAATCCGACAGGGGACCTCAGGAGTTCCTGATTAATAACGAGAATATCACCTGGGCAAGGGTGACTTCTCGTAGCTTTCAAGGTAAGTTCTAAAAAAAATCAGCTAGGTTGGAAATGGACGTATCTGATCTCTCTAGTGCCCTAGACACGTTCAATCTATGGAGAAGATTCATATTTTACACCTTTTTCGCCTATCTTCTATATTTTCCTCTAGCTATAAGAAGGGAGAATATTTTTTTAAAAAAAAAGAAGAGAAAAGAAAAGAAGAAGAAAACACGACAGTCCTAAGCCGTATAGATGAATTACTATAATTATGCTTTGATATTAAGGATGTATGTTGGAAAACATTTGTATCTATAGACCTGAAGTATAAAACAGCCTATAGAAGGTGAAACACGGGCCAGGATCTTACATTTTGTATTTTAGGCATGCTGAAGGATTCGACACCTATGCCGACCTCGGGAAAGAATAATCTTGGAAGGATCGGTAGGCAAAATGAGTACTACTTGTCACCTTCCGGAGATTGAGAACGTCTAGGGATGCTAACTGAAACCATCTTCTTCTCATTTTGGCCAGTCCGAGGTTGAGATAAATGGGATATCAAGTGGTAGACAGTAGGTTCTTTTCCCTAAGTACATTATTCTGATCTGACACAAAGGGCAAAATGACCAAGTTAATTTTGAGTAGGACGACTTTCTCTTGATGTATAATTCCCACGAAACTCTTACATTTGGCCGTTCGTCTGATCGGCATTGTCGGTGCTCGCAGCAAGCTCCTCTAAGTGTGCACCTGATGCCCCTAGATATACCAATGAGATCTTTTATTTAGGCAAGTTCAGATTTCAACAAAATAATAAAGACAAGAAGGTTCAAGTAAGGGAAAAGAGCTAGCTTGCCTCCGGATTTCCCATCTATAAAAGAATATTAGAGGATTTATCTCTGATATGCGGAGAAGTGCATCGATGGTGTCGGCAATCTGGCGACCAATTTTCCGACTGTGAGAGAGCTTCCCCGCAACTTGCCCTTGTTTCTCTATTTAAACTCGATATCTTAGCTTACTGTTCCTTACACCTCATTCTCTCATCCTATTATATCCTAGAAACAATGTCGCAAACCACTCTTCCCGGCTCGGACATTAAGCCATGGATGCGCCCCGCACCGCAGGGATATAAGTTCATCAACGCCAACATCGTCGATGTCGAATCAGGCACAATCAAAGAAAACGCAACCATCATAACTACTGAAGGGAAAATCACCTACGTCGGCTCAGAATTATCTATCCTAGTCTCACAAACCAACCTCAAAATAGTAGACTGCGAAGGTAAATACCTCTGCCCGGGCCTGTTCGACGCCCACGTACATCTATGCGCAGTGCCAGGTTTTACCGACTTATCCAAAGCCTTTGGAAACCCAAATGACGTTCATCTGTTGCGGCAGCCATACACAGCCTCGCAGATGCTGCATCGCGGCTTCACCAGCGTCCGTGACTGTGGCGGTGCCCAGCTCGCCCTGAAAGAGGCAATCGAAGACGGTGTCTTCCCCGGCCCACGCCTCTTTATCGCATGTCATGCCCTCTCGCAATTCGGTGGACATGGCGATCTGCGCGGCCCACATGAACCTACAGTATGCTGCGGCGGCACACACAGCAATAACCGCTTGGGCCTCATGTGTAATGGCGTGCCGGAGTGCATTGCTGCCGTTCGTGAGGATATTCGCTGCGGCGCTGACTTTATCAAAATTATGGGCTCGGGTGGTGTGGCTTCACCAACGGATAAACTGGAACATCTGCAGTTCACAGTGGCCGAGATTCAGGCTATGGTGGAATGTGCCACTAATGCTGGGACTTTTGTCACAGCCCATGCCTATACCGCCAAGGCTATCCGGCATTGTATTGATAATGGAGTCCGCGGTATTGAGCACGGGAACTTTGTTGATCTACCCACTGCCAAGCTGATGGCCGAGAAGGGGGTCTACTTGACGCCTACGCTTATCGCATATGATCAAATGGCTTCCGAGCGGTGGAAGAACTATCTGCCAATAGAGTCCCAGAAAAAGAATGAGATCGTGCTAAAGTCTGGTCTTGAGGCTTTGAGGGTCGCCTCAGAGGCTGGTGTGACTATGTGCTACGGCTCCGATTTGCTAGGTCCGCTGGGCTCTGCGCAGACCCATGAATTTGCACTGCGGGCGCAGATTTTGTCATCGCCCGAGGTCTTGCGCAGTGCAACTTTTAATCCGGCGAAGATGATGGGATGCGCGGATGAGCTGGGTCAAATCAAGGAGGGCTTCCATGCTGACGTTGTGATTCTAAATAAGAATCCGCTTGAGGATGTGACCGTCTTTGATAGGCCCGATGTACATGTGCTTGGGGTAATGAAGGATGGCCGTGTCTATAAAAGTAGGTGGGATGCATTGCTAGAGGATGCTCAAATTCCTGTGAGAGTACAATGATTATGTTTTTGTGTACTGCATTGCATTGCATATTGCTATAAGAGTTGCCGGTTTTTTAAGTGAATATAGAAATAGAATAGTAGAGAACAAGAATAGTCGGCCACTTATGCGGCCTTGTCATACCTTTTTAACGGTTGTTTTGGTAGTCCTAAGAGAACTGCCTAGGAGCTAGAAGCTAACAAGAAACACAAAGCAATAGAATTAAGGAAGGTGTAGAGATACCGAGTCATCAAGTCTCGGCTTCATGGAATCTATGATATCAGGCATAGTCAAGGCTACCGCAACAAGGCTGCACCCGTCCCAAACATCCGCGAATAACAGGCCCGCAACAGCTCCGTGTTCGTCTAGCACGAATGATCCGGAGTCATCTTTCTCATCAAATGGACCATTGACAACAATAATAACGTATTCCTCGGTTTGATGACTTTTCATGTCAACGCCATTGCCGCCAATATCGTGCCGAAGTTGACTAGCCCAGTTGCAGACAGCCTTCACACCGTTGCACACTCCACCTATCACATCAGCGGTGCCGCCTTTCTTGATACAGTACGTATCTGACTGTCAAGTCCCAACCTCCATGATAGGGCTGTCGGCTGGAAGGAAAATTCTCGCAAATTGATCAGAGGAACGACTGCTTGGCTTTTGGTTACGCGGAATTTCTGGCATCCGATTGGCTCGAAAGTATCCTTCCTCGGCTTCTGGTGTGAGCTTGATGAACGCCAAACCCAGGAGTCGTTTACCATGAATTAAGAGCCCCGATGCGAAAAGGACTTCGCCTAGAACGTGTGGCATTGGTTTCATGACTTCTCGTGTTGCGATGAGACTAAATTTGCAGGTTTCCAAGATTTCCAGCTGCCGATGGGAGAGGCACCACGTGCATTCTCCCAACAGCAGCCGATTCTGGATAGAAGATGTGAGGCTAGCCTTCCGTGAGTCGAGGCTGTCGAGTTGAGAGTCAATATTGACTAGTGCAAAGTCCCGGTCCTTTCTAGCCAACGACTCTATACCGATTGCCCTTTGATAGGCGACAGGCGAACGAGGGGAAATGTCATGAGGATCGATGACTTCGACTAATTGATGGAGGGGTGAAGGCCTAACGACATGATAGTTTGTCAGGAGCCCACGATGAGTGCCGCCATGATGTCGTAGCTCCATATAGCCACCCAAAGTGCCGGCGTTCTTGCCGCCGCAAATCCCGATAGAATGATGCATCTTTATATCACCCGCGCTATTCATTCGGTCTCCAAATGAGACAGCATCATTTCTCCCTAGTAGATTGAGGTTACCAGGTAGAAATTCGACATCAGCAGGAATAGGAGAGTCATGTGATGCAAATTTATATCCAATTTGAGCATGAATTCGAACCCGATTTGCTTTTATTGATGGCTTAACGAAAATAAAAAGATCTGGCTGGGTTGAGCACAAATCGCGCCCGATATTAAACGGACATAGTAGTTGCCAGTTTATACCAAGAGATTGGTGAAGAAGCCGTCCAATTTCTTCTTTGGGAATCTCGTACGCTGCGACTAGCCCATTTTCTGCAGAAATTAAGAATAAGGAGGGATGGTAGAAGTGGCCTGAATCAATAATCTCCACGTGCATCTGAGAGAGGCTATGTTGGCGAAGGAGCCGGATGATGTCGTCTTTAATGGGCCCTAAGCGCACCGAAGACGAACCATCCCCTGAAACCATAACACATAGCAAATGAAATTGGTCCCCACTGAGACTTGCTTTTACCACAGGGAGAATCGAATCTGAAGGCAGATTATGCCGATCGAGGACGGCGTGGATCTCATGGTGGAGATCCTCAGTCGGGTCTTCCTGAATAGAGAGATATTCTTTTTTAAGTGACTTTGGATCGGGATTTGAAAAACTGATGCTTCGAAACGGATTGGTGCGGCAAATTTACTGTTCAATGCTCATTTCCCCTTCTGTGTCAGAGGCGGCGTTGTTTCCGGGGACTTGATGGGCCTCGAGATGGGGAAGGATTTCGAAACAGCCTAGGCCATAAATCGAAACATTTCTGTGAGATTTAGTGAAGGTAGAAAGAAGGAAACAGATCGAAAGGAATTGGATAGATGTAATATGAATCACATTCGTCGACATTATCGAATAGGAATTAAGGCGAGCACCTAGAAACCGTCCACTGGAACCATCCATTAGTAATATAAGGAAGGCTCCAGGGCTATCCGGAAGAATTTACCATTTATATCTTGACATCATGAAAACATATAAAAAGGATATCCGAGAAGACTACTAAAGGCTGCATAAGCGACTATTCCTGTCCTCATATAGATTGAGAACAATGGCACGTTCGCTGAAGAGGTTAGTTTGGATGGTATCGAATCAGACATCAGCACAAAGCAGCATCTTGAACAGAAGCTGATCTATTCCTGTATCATATTAGAAACACTTTTTTCGCAAAGCCCGTAGACTAACTACCTTCCAAACATGTAGGGCAAGTTCCTCGCAAAGCACCGTTGACATCTTATCGGTGTTGACTCTCCACACTTGCTTTTCTTGGCCTTGCAGCGATCGCATCTGGGCCCATTAACTGGATACGCCTCATCACGAATAGATTATGCATACGCCCAGGGTGCCCTTTTACGATTCTCGTCGGCAAAACGCTTTCTCCGTCGTCGGCTTGAGACAAATTCAATTCGAATTAATTTGGAAGGCTATCTGAAGGGGCTATAGAGGAGGGGAGAAGCAAAGGATAGGAAAAGGACAATTTACCGAAACTCGGCAATTTGGCCGCTTTATCTACCCCTACACTCCTAAGCATTGGCGGAAGGTTAAGAGGTTAAGAGATTAAGAGATTAAGGATACAAGAGAAGTGGGAAATTATATTACAGTGATCTGGCTAATAGGTGAATCGTGAAGACGATGGTAACGTTGTATTTGCTTGGAAGTATTCATCTTTGAGATATCCTTTTCCCTTTGGATGCTTCAAGAATAGAATTGCAAATTACGATACTGTTCAAATTGGCCCTTTTACCATTGCTGCCTCCTTCTCAGCTTCTAATTGAGTAGGAGTACTGTGTATTGTCATCCTTCTGGATTCCGCTGATCCCCATGAAGTCCTGATACCATAGCCAGAGCATATCCTGTTGCTCCTGGTTCAACATAAAGAATTGCTTACGCAGTTGAATCTCAGCCGAGCTGCGTAGTTTCAACAGCCGCAGTTCTTCATCTCGATTTTCTCGCATCAGCTGTTGGATGGACGGTAGCCTGCAAAAGACATCGGTGATGTTCGCTTCCACTCCACGTACCCGGGCAAGTGCACGGTGGGAATTTTCAATGTCAAATAGTAAAACCTGGAATTACTTGAAAGGAGTAGTGGGAGCATGCGATATTTCTGGAGGAATGGCAATTTCGAGATAGAAACGGAGGTCTTCCTCATAGTACTGCAGCAAGCCGTGTTGGTGTTCAGGAGAAAGAGCTTCGAATGTCGCTTGGGCTTTTTGCACGGCCTGACCAGCGTTCTTTTTCTGATCTTGTAAAAACCGAGCCACCTTTTCAATAGCTCTCTGTATTTCCGAGTGTTGGGTACTCTCCGACCGTTGGGTACTGAGGTGTGGGAACGAGTCCAGAAAGCGAGCAGTAGTTAAGCAGCAATTTGAAGAATGAACGGCGGTTCTTAGGACATCAAGAGCCTGGCAAAGCTCTGGAGCCAAGCATCGCTCATCAGTTATCGACTATATCGGAAAACATGTTAGTGTAAGTTGCCTAGGTGGTTACCTAGATAAAGGTACACACTCCAGCCATCTGTATGGAAGTTTGAAAGATAGTTCTGAGTTAGATGGAGAATGAAGATGAAGTTCTCAGGGACTAGATTTTGAGACAAGTTTTTTGCCCTTGGAAATTAGATTTATCTCAAAATATTCAGTAAAGTGTAAAACCGCTCATCCTCAATGGCTAGACATTCAATTCTCTTTCCTATTTTCCTAGTACTTTTGAAAATAGAATGACAATTTATCGTCAACGTCTGGTATAAGTTCAAATGTTCCCCTGTACTCCGTAGATGCAGATACCCGTGCAGGTGACTTATAAGGTTTCAAGGTTGCGGCTGCCTAACTTCACCTCTTCCAACGAGGTCTCTTAATTTCCTTTCTTCCACCTTGATCCCTTCTCTCAACACATCTTCAGCTATGGGGTCAGTCTAGCCATCGGTCAAAAAGCAACTTGCTAATAAGAACATAGTTACACACACTACTACGCCATTATTGGCTGGGATACACCTGAATGGCAAAAGGCCTGGGCCCAACTCATCAAAGATGTCCCCAACATCATCAAAGAAGCCCGGGTTCCTCTCAGCGGCCCAACCGAGGATGACGACAAGATCACACCGGTGGTCACGGACCTTGAGGATGGCATATACCTGAACGGCATTAGAGGAAATGCGCATGAACTATTCAGGCTTTGCCAGCCGGGTACATGGACTTTCTGCAAGACTGCTCAAAAACCGTACGATGTGGTCGTTTCATCCATCCTTCTTAGGATTTGGATGCTGGCACCGAAAAATCTCGATCTTGGGTATGTTACATTTTACATCCCTCTAGAGAATCCATTCTAACGATTTATAGCTCTGATGGAGGCTATGAAGACTGGGCTGATGCGCGTGACCTTTGTGCCACCTTGTGGCCCGGGGAGCCTACCGATGGCCTGTGGGTGAAAAATGACGAGGGAGATGACATCGAGGCCAAAGACGAAAGCGACTAGGTCAATTAAATGCGCGGGTTTTGCTTTTAGGGGCCATTAAGTTCTTTTATGTTTTATTTGGCGCCACATATGGCTCAGGTTGATGACCTTCACTTGTGTACGCACGAAGTTGGGAATTTATTATTTTCTTTTTCTTTTTCGGGCTTACATTAAAATTTATTTTACGCCTATAATATTAGGTCTACCGATTACTTCCCCTGGATTACCCTCGCTAGACAAATTTAGCCAATCTCGGCTCTTGGACACTGTCGACGGTGTAGGCTGTGTTGCCTGCGCGGATGCGATATATTACACCGTTTGGGTCCTTGTATTGACAGCCCCTTGTGACGTTCACTTTTGTTTATTTTTAACACTCTACACGCTACTTTGACAAGCGTCACAGCTTGAGGGAAAATGGATCTTCAACACTTGCATCGTTATTGAGCACCCCAATAACCTGCGCTTATTCCCAGCTTATACCAATTTTTATTCTGTTGATGACAGGAAGTTGCGCTGCAGTCTTAGCGATTACACTCCCAATAACCTTGTCACAGAATGTGGTCAAAAATGGCTGCCGTTTGCCAGATACAAGTAAGATGTTTGATTCATGTCTGCTTGTCCCAAGAATACCACAATTCAAACGGCCGTCGTCTCCTTTCTCATAAATCTTCGTGTGATTCTACTAGATTCAAAAAGATGTGCTGCGGTCGAGACGCAGCTTGTGAGTCCATGCTTTATACTCTACAATTGGTGTGGATGCCCAGACCTAAACCCGCAACAATACAGCCAATATACTCTATAAACTCCGCCAACTTCCAAAACGCCCTAGCGGGGATCGATATATATGACAGTCATTTGACGGCCCTATTAAGTTCTTAAAAAGTCCATGGGGTCCAATCTGGAGGTGTTCCAGTTGAATGACCACTGTTCTTTCTCCTCGTCCTCTTTCCTCAACCAAGTTGGATTTTAGGGTATACAATTTGTACACGGTATGCCTATCACAATATACTAACAAAAGTCCTATCAAGACTGTCAGCCGTAATGGTCCAACTGCGCGCACGACATATTGTCCGCAAAGCTCTCCCTCCCACCCTCATCTGTCTTGCATAATATTACCTTTGCTGGACCCTTGCGAGAGTTGCCAACATTCCTACGTGATATTCAAAGTGTCGACAAAAGTCAGTTACCCACTAGAAACCTTCTTTTCCAGAGCACCACTCGCCCTTCTTGGTACATTGTTAGAAGCGATAGATGACTTTGTCAATCTCTTATTCAAACAAATAGACGCGAAAGGACCGATTACTAATAGAGCCCGCTTCCCGAGGTCAAGATAGATCTGATCCAGAAAATAAGAGGTTTTATTGTCGATATCGTGGAGTCCACTGACTCCACAGTTCAACACCACACATGAAATATCCCAGACCTTTGCTGTACATCTCCAGCTCGTGTGTCAAGCCTTCCGTACTATTGTGGCGAATTTCATCGTGGGATTGCTTGAGAGTGAGCTCCAATTCCCGACAGTAGCTATACATTAGCCTCTTGCAAGCTGTATACGACAGTCCTGTCTCGTTGGCTAGAATGTAGATGGCAGAGAACGGCTGCGCACCATCGGTTGGGTTCGCCTGGTATATTCTCCATTCCCGCTCCCAGCTATAGATATCATTTATAACGCTGAAGTGCCGAAAAGCGATGCTTTCCAAGGTGGCGGTCTTTTTGAGTTCAGCGGAAGTGAAATAGAGCTTGGCACCGAATCTAATGAGAGCTGTGTAGAGTCTAAATAGCCGTCAGTACTCAACAATAATATCCAAAAATGAACAGAAACGACACCACCTACGGTCTTCCCACATCTATTTCCCTGAATTTGAGATAGGATCCGAGAGTTTTGATTGTGGTCCTCTCCTGAGATGTCTGGGCCTGCAGAAGTTGACAAAATCCCTGGGCAACATCATTTGCCAAAACCTCGTCCATACTTCGCATGGCCATGACAGTATCATGCAGCATCCATTCAAGACAGATACTTTTATCGGGTCTTGCTGTTCCGAGGGCAACTTTCATGACCCGGTCTTGATATGACAGCATCTGTGTAAAACTCATTTCTTCAAGTTGGTCTATCTCGAAGGTCAATAAGTTTCCAAAACCTGACCTCAGGCCATGAGAACTCACCATCAATGAGTAAAGACAAGTAAAGCATCTTGCATGTCACATTGATGCGATCATCTAGCGTCAATGGGAAAAAGTGACTAAAGGCGCGGGATAATCCAAGACTAAGGAACCCCTTTTTCTCCTTGTCGCTGGCAAACTCCCAATTGTTACTGAAATAAGGCTCAACCTGAGTTTGAATTGTTTCCCAACCTAGTGGATGGGTTTTGGACTCCAGTTGGCTCGCTGGAATATCGCAAGGGACATTTTGTGCTCTTGAGTACTGCCTGACCCATTTGTTTGTGGAGTAGATATAGGATGAAAACATCGGCTGATTGACAATCAATCTCATCTGAAATCGGCGTCCATTTTCCAATTGCTTCCAGACGCATACCCTTTGAAATTGATGCATTGCAATTTCTGTTAATTGAATACCATGTGGCCGGGAGCTTTTTAGTTGGCAATTGTGAGTCTTCACAGATGCTGCAAACAATTACGCACGGACCATCGAAACGTGATGTCACCGACGTCAACCGTGGTCCATGTCACACTTCTTTTTACGCTTATCTCTAATTCTACTCCAGGTTTGCTTCGTACAACATATGTGCGCAATACCCACGTTTTCTCCTTCTCAAGCTCCCATCTTTCAGGCTATTAGAAATCAATTGTGTCCCTACCAATCCGATCGTCGGTGTGCGAGAGAGAGAGAGAGAGGCCAAGCAAGGCCTTTATACTAAGAACATATGGTTCCAGCTTCCGCTTCTATCGGCCATCAAAGTTCTCTGCAGGTGGCCCTACGGCGCCTCGGTGCAATCAAAGCAAACAGTGGGATATCTACCAGCAATTCTTTAGGTCTCTCAACAAAGGCTGTCACGATGAGCACACCGTCAAACAACCCACAGCGTGCTCCCTGGCGCGATCTCCTTGACTCTCATCTCCAACAAACACCTGGATATGAATTCACAATTGCAACAGTTGGCTACGATGCTCAGCAACGTCCTGTACCTCGCCTACGGACTTGCGGCTGTCGTGGTTTCTTCCCAGAACTCGAGCTCCATGCTAAAGGCCAGGAAGCTATGGATCAGCAGGTAGAAGGTGGCGGTAATCCACCCATATTTGAGAGTGACATGCTGTCCTTTACCACTGATGCTCGAATGGACAAGCTTCCTCAACTGGAGTCCTCGGGGCATGCGATTGAAGCCGTGTTCTGGCTGAAGGATCTTATGACTCAGTGGCGCATCAAGGGGACGGCATATGCAATTGGCAACCCAAGCGGAGAAGATGCACCGGAAGAGAAGACATCCAGAACTGAGATAACAAAGGCACTGAGGGTAAAAGGGGATACTGACAGCGATATTGCAAAGTGGACATGGCAAAATGCTGTCACAAAGTACTTTGCAAACCACTCCCCTGTCGCAAGAGGTACGTTGTCTATTTCTTGGTTCTTGGGTACAAGTTTTTTTATTACTACATTGCTCTTATGCTAGATCGTAAAGCCCTGTTTGTCTGTCATCGCCAGCTTATGCTGACGAGGAATCTAGGTTCTTTTCGAAATCCTCCCCCTGGACAACCTAGATCCTCGAATCCCAACCAATCGGATCTCAAACTGGGCCAAAGTGTTTTTGACCTCCATGACCCTGTTGCACGAGCCAATTTCCGAGTTGTCGTCATTCGACCTGAGGAGGTTGAGTGCTTAGATCTTACTGATCAAGAGGACGGCAAACGATGGAACTGGACATTGATTGGGGGAAACGATGGTTCCCAGTGGAATGAAGTTGAGGTATGGCCGTGATTCTATCAATACTGCAAAAACGTATGTTTTCGACGCATCTGGATCAACGTATATCCAAATAATGTCTTTCATCTCTACCTTGTTTTGATATTTCCACAAAACGGGCTACCTATCTATGTTAGATGTTCTCACCCTATAGTATAAGGTTTTGTATCTATAAGCTTCAATAGAACACTGAATATCTTCAAAATAAAACCAAGCAAACTGTTAGTAGTTACCGTGGAGTCCGGGTTCACAGATGTGCTGAGTGACCGGGCCTTCCAAATTTGCTCAGTTTGTCGTTTTGCTGTTTTGCCTTATGGTTGTCCCCTGCTTAAAAGAACCTTCACTTCTGCCAACTCGTCGCATCTCGCCCACTGCGCTCAAGTCGCGTCATACGCACGACAGATAACCTTCACTTATCATCTCATCCTATCTGTTTTGACTTCTCATTTCATCTCATCTCATTACCAAAAGTGACTTTCCTCAAACCGCCTCTTCTTACCCACCTTACCTCAACATAATACTAACAACCGGCACGTGAAAACAGTGTCTGACACCGAGATGCCTAGCGATAATCCTGCCTGTGCTGACTGTAAGGCCAAGAAGAAACGGTGCATGCACCGTAACCAACCTGTGAAGGTCGCCGAAGCTGAAGTCACCTCAGCCAACATGTCTGACCCCTGCGCTGCCACTCCCGCTCCCACCCCTTCTCTCACCCCTGCTGCTACTCCGGTCCCTGCCACTGTTCCCGGTGCTGCCACGAGGGGTCGCCGCAAGGCTGCTGAGGCTGCTGAGGCCAAGCCCAAGGTACATAACATGACATCCTTCTCACTTCTCACTAGCTTTATCACCAAACTAATCCTTGGATATAGGAGATGAGCCCCGCTCCCGCTGACTCCAGTGACGAGCTTTCTTCCGTGCCCTCTGAGGCTGAGCAGAAGCCGGTGGTCAAATCCACCAAGCGTAGTCGCCGCGCCAAGACCTCCGCCGCCGCCGCCAGTACCACCACCGCCAAGGCCCAGGATGAGGTGCCTGACCTTCCCGCCGAGTCCCAGAGCGAGGTTCCTGACGACCTCCCCGCCGACCTTGTCAATGCCGCTTGCACCATGTCTGTGCACAGCATCTGGGCCCGCAAGCTTCAAGCCAACCTCCAGGAACTGGAGGCCAATATGCAGGCCGCCAATGAAGCTCACCGGGTTACTATGGCCACCGCCCAGGAAATTCAGCGCACCGTTGACGGCTGGATTCAGACTTGGACCGCTACTGGCCGTTAGGTATTCGTCGTTGTGCTAAGAGCGTTGGGAGGTTTATCTTTTTTTTTCTTGTACTTCAATCCTGCCAATTGAACTGATGACTATGAATTCTTAAACCTGTGTTTACACCTCGAATGTGAGAACCTGTAGAATTGACGCCGAAAATGACCGCTTTTGAAGCCAGAAACGGCTGCCTTTCCACGCGTAACTTTGATAGCTGTCCGTTGACCGCCTACGGTCCTGTAACACCACTATTCTGCACCCGCCTAGCACTCTTGGTGATAGGGTTATTTCCCTTGGTGGATACGGAACAGAGAAGGAGGTAGGTTGTAGATGTAACGGTTCAGGACGGCACTGATGCCAATCCCAATGTACATTCGAGCCACTGACCGACGTTTAACGCATCTCACTAGATAGATATATTGGATCTTCGTTGGTTTTCAAGAATGCAGTCCCTTGTTGAAGCACATCAAGAAAGGTGAGAGCTCAGGCCATGACCCAGAGGGTGATGACGGAGCCCGACTGCAACGCGACGGAGAGTCGCTGTGTATACGTGAGATAGTCCAATTGGAAGGGCTTATTTCTATCCATGGATATGTCGACGGGTACCTAGATAGGTTGCCTACATACCCTGTCTTACCTCAGCTAGTTCATCCATATGGATCCAGTAAAACCACCCCAATGTCCACCTGACTAGAAAAATGTCGGTTTGGTTTCTGTTGCCAACTCATTTCCTTGAACGAAAACGGCCTCTGCTTACCGTTTGTGCGTCCAACCATGCTCTAGACTTTATCGCAGACCACGTCATTCAGTATATGGGAAAGAACGATTCCCTCGTCATAGGCTTAAGTACTGTACCGTACTCACTCGCAAAATCAACCTTCAAAGCTCACCGAGAAACATGATAGTCAGACAATCCGAACTGTCTCTCAAGGAGATTCCTTCTAAACACGAAGTCTAGTGCCTTGCACGGCATCAAGTATATCGCCCACACAGAGACAGCTTCTATCTGCGAGATGATGGTTTATAACGGGCGACCTCACATGGAATCAAATGTGCAGCGCTGAATAACAGGCGACATTTGCAAGCATGTGAGTGAGCAGTATCGTGATGGTCGCCTGAGTTGGCCCCAGTCTAGACGTTTACATTGACCTCCTTTGCGAAATGGTGGGAGATAGGAATGCCTGAAAACCTGCGCAATGCAATGAGGATCGAGTTCTCTAAGGAAATGGTAGAACTCTTCCACTGTACTCCTAAGACATCGTTTTTCTTCTCAGTCGCAAGGAGATAACATCACTTCTAAATACAGAATAAGTTAACTTCATTTTTAACTAGGTTATGGCAGCTTAAGCACCCCAGACGCACGAGGCTGGACTACCGCGAAACGGGAGAAGAATACCCCGGCGGAGTACACGGAGTACGAATATAGTAATCCCCCACCATCCAAAACAGTTCCAACGCCTTGGTCCTAATTTCTTTGGTTCTAAAGCTTTAAAGGTGCAAGCAAAATATACTTGCAGCCAGTGAATTTGTTCTTTGGGGAGGGAATCCTTTGATCTCGATATGGGACGTGTCTGGTCGACACTCATGGATTGGCTTTGTTTTATTCTTTTGTTCTCGAGCAACCCCGAGGTGTCCCTCGACACCTCCTTAATCCATAGATTTTTGAGATCGAATTGGACCTTGTAAGCATGTAAATTCAAGTATCTTGTTAGACTGTAATGATTTGCATCCAATCTTAGACATAAGAGTCATTCTGTTCTTCTATGTCACGTGTGAATCCTAGACCTAGAAACTTCAGTGGATACTCCGTAGCAAAGTGTTTAAAATGTTTATTTGAGAGGGGAAGTCTGGAGGATCGGGGACCTGATATTAGTACAAGGAAGTACCCAGTACCATCTATTGTATTGACGAATAGAGTAGCAGTTTTTAATACCGCCCCTAATAGATTCTCGATTTACACCGATCAACCAACCATAGCTACCCATCAAGCGGTGGGACCTTCCACTGCCCTTCTGCCAACCCCTGTCAACTCCCCAACCACGGAGTCTCCTGGGTCTTCCGAAGGGATCGCCCGGCTCCCAAATAGCTTCCCTCCAGGGGTCTTTCTCTTTGGTATTTGATTTTCCACTTCATATTCCCTGTGATCCCCGAATCCCCGACTTTTGGTCCCCGAAGGGAACAAGCGGCCGTTACATGTCAGACCTCTCTTAGGAAAGGTACCCGTTTGATATCTAGATTTCTTGAATTAGACTCTTTTCTGTTCGACCTGGAGAATAATTTCCAAGAATCTCCCCATATCTTTCGGTTGCTGGGAGACTCGACCTTCCGAGGAATGAGTGGCTTGGGGCGTTTCTTTAGGATCTCCTGTCACATTGATCATCAAGGGGGTTTTTTTTTTTGGGCACTTGTTCCCACGTACAGTTAACTAGAGCAAGCTAAAGTAGTGTTGTACGGAGTCCCTTATGGCAACTCTTCGCTTTGCGTAAACTGACACATGCAGCAATCCTAACTCACCGCTCTTCAAGTGATTATAGTGCAAGTGATCCAATCATATATGAAGACAAGTTGCAGATGCACCTGGTCCTAGGAAGTGGAATTTTATCAAATACATCACACAGGATCTTTTTTCGTACCAAACCTGCCTCAGTGCTACTAGCTCCATATAAGTTCATACCATTTGATACCATTTGGTACAATATGTATGGTACAATATGGTACAATCCGGTACGGACCTAATAAAGACTATTTACCATAACGGTACCATAACAATACCATACTTGCTCTTGGATTTACTCAATTCCAAAGGATCACTTTTTTTTTCAAATGTCTTTTTTGTGCTTCACTTCCCCTCCTAAGACTCTGCTTCACCGTCACTTGCATTGTCAACTGCAGATCCTATTCAACGGCTTATCATTGAAGGGGTTACTAAAGAAACCCCCGTCTTCTCTTCCAACCCGCACCCGTACCCGCACCGCGATCCCGTCTTCTCCGTGGCGCATGCCTTTTTGTCTCTTCGCCAACCCTTCACGATTCTGGTCGAACTCACGATTAACGACGAAACGAACACCGGGAATACACCCTCAGAGATAATACTTTGACCTTTGATTCTTTGATTTCGACCAGCGCAAGCGTGGAAAGCCCAGGGGGACTCAACAGTCGAATCTTTGTTTTTGGCCATGGCATCAATGGATGCTCTAGGGGCCTTCACCCACATGAAAGACAATATTCCCAGATGGATCACTCGTGTTTCAGAGCTTGCTACGCACACTCATCAGAAGCACAATGAATACTCGGAAGCTTACAGACGACACGCCAATTTCAAGCCCCGCCGACAGAAAAATAGTTCCGTTTGCTCCATTCATATCGATGATCTCGTTCCGATCGCACAAAGAAAGGGCCCCAGCCCAGAACCTGCAGTAGTGGAAACACCACTGGATGCGCCCGGGCAAGGTCAGCGTTCAGATCGCAAGCGCACTACAGATGAAGCCCCATCAGTCAAGTCCAATGAAGAATACGCGTGGGTAAGCACACGGCACAAGGTCATCATCGAGTATGATGGCCATACACAGCAGACCCTCGAGGCAATTGTGCGGGATATCGGGATGGCTAGGAACAACATCCGACGAGGACAGATGGCATTGATGCCGCGTACAGGGTTGCGCGCAGGCTTGTTGAGCAAAGGCATGAACTTGAACTTGAATATGAATATGTCCAGTGGACTAGGACAGACAGGACCACTCTCTTGTGTTCGCAGCACCCGGACCACAGCTGGACTTGTCGGTGTCTCTGGAACTAGCACACTTCGGAAAGACTCCCCTTTCGACTTTGCAGACAAGCAACTGGAACTTGCCCATTCGCTTTGCGAGACTGCAGCTTACCAAGTCCTTCGATCTGGCGACTGTGGAACAGAACTGGATGGCGTAGAAGAGAAGTTCAAGATGCTACTTGAGGCGGCTATCAACGAGGTTGACCGTCTTGTGGCAGAAAAGAAAATGCAAGAAGAGCACAAGCAAAAACAGCAAGATGGGACCGCGGAAGAAGGACCTCCCAAACCGCCACCTACCCCTTCCGCGGCGCGACTCGCAAGGGTTGCTGCCATTGCGGCCAACAAGCCCTCAATGACCACCTCAGGCGCCATTGAAGTTGATGATAACTCGTCTCTCTCGGCTGAGTCGATTGACCTATCTGCATTCCGAGCCTCCCGGATCCGAGTGTAAACATTGGCATAGCCAACACTTGACCTCATATTAGCGATTTAGCGTGTGTTGCAATCCTTCCAGCAAGACCTTACAGCCCATTGATACCTTTTGATCTGTTGAGGAAACCATTTCTTTCTCTCTGATTGGCCTCTTATTTATCTCGTTTTTTTTTGGCCATTCTGCATCTTTGATCCCGATCTAATTTGCAGTTATGGGGCCACGCATATACCAATGACACCATTCATTCCCTTATTTGCGATATTTTACTCCTTCTTACTGTCTTTGATCACATCTTTCAATGTTGTTATTGTTTGAGATACCTATCTCCTGCCTGTCTCTTGCATCAGCTCCTGACTCATTCCCAAGGGAGCACGGCGTTGGAATCGGCGTTTTTATTTTTATTATGTTTCTACTTGGGTCTTTGCCGATGGAGTTTTCTAGGTCCCTTTGCGTTCATTACAACCATTCTTAGTAAATATCTATGGCAGGAATTTGACTTTTTTTTTTCGTGGATTTTCGGCTTCATTGTCAGAATCGCCTCCATACGGGGTCATTTACAACCTACAGAAGAATTACTATGTTGTACTAAATTAAAGGCATAACGGCCCCGTTATTTTATGGCCGATTGAGTCAAGCTCTGCCAATATGTGAAATGTACAACTGAATTTTGGTTCATATTGGTCTTCACTTCCTGTAATCCCAGACATATGTAGCTTGCCAATATCCCAATGCATGACCGTTACCGTTCCCTGTCGGCACGGCAAGGCAACGGGTTGCATTTTTCTTTCACTGATTTGTCAAGCAAGCGAAGCCACCAGGATCAAGGGCAGCTCCATTGTGGGGTCCGAGAGCCATTTGGGGGGATTGATACCCAAAATCTTCCTAATTAAGTAAACAGTCTCTGGTAATGTAGTTAGTAGTTATATAGCGTGGAGACAATTACAAGTGGGGGGTCCATTAAAACCCCCCGCCTTCCCCCTTTAAGGGGGGCAAAGGGGGGGACTTCAACCCTACAATATAATTTTATACTCTATATGGAGTACAGCTGACGAAGCACTCATTTGAGTGAATTCCAGATCAAATCATCTTCATTATTGCCCACGGTTGGTATGGTATGGTTGGTGAGGTCAGCATCCATAGTGGCTGTTGAGGTAGAAATTTCCTGCTGTGTTTCGCATTCAAAGTGTGGGTACGTGTCCTGTCTACTACATATCACCAAGAAATGATATGCGCAGTATGCATGGCACATACTACGGGGTATGAAATACCTTCCACAATACATTTATTACTCTGTGCTTAGTAGAAGCCATGTTTTTCTGCAAAGTGTGAATTACCATGGATGTATTGTTCTATATGCATTAAAGACACTTTCACCAAGGTATAGTAACCATAGGATACAGGGCGTCGGAAGCTAAAATGGGAGGCGTTTTTTAGTACAGATAATATGAGGTGTGGAGATGAGATTACCCTAGACATTCCTTTGGTCGATCGTGGATATGGGATAATTTAATATGGTGGCTTCCACCTGGCAAGCTGCAGGTGCAGGGTTCTTGCTTCTCGAATATACAGAGTACAAAATACATTGAATACAGACTCTGATTAGTATTACATGTGTATTATATTCCTTCTTCATGGACTTATCACTCCCTAGAAGACAAGTTCTATATTAGAAGACCTCAATCCAACCAATCTAGTAGAAATATATAATATATTAAGAAATATGAAGATACTTAATATCAAAGCAGACACTCTCTCTATTATGATATTAATACATACAGTACAGTAAATCAATACTATGTAAGTAATGAATGTTAAAATCGGTATGCACTACTCCGTACTAACCCCCAGTTCTCCCCTCAGATGCCGATCAACTCACTGTGGCCTTTTCTGTTCCCTTTTAGGTGGCGCGGAAAATTATTCCAGTTGTTGTTTTTTTTTTAGAAAAAAAAAAAAAGACAAAAGTACGATGCAGGAGGGGGTAGAACCAAGAACGACAAATTTGAGTCTTTCTACATTATAAAATTTGGGGGGGGTTTACAAAATTCAACATATACGTATACTACGGAGTACAAAGTATATATATATATATATACACATCCTATCCCTTAATAGAAAATGCGAATTTACAGTCTACTCCGTACATAAGGTAAACAAGCACAAGGCACCCTTTTGTATTTTAATTTGATATTATGGACCCCACTTCTCCTAGCCAGAAGTGACAGGTGTCAAAAACGCAGCAAGCCACAGTATCCTGGTGCCAAATAATCTTAGAAAACAAGGATCCATGACACTCAACGGAAGTGGTTCTTTCTTGATTACCTAGCGTGAAATTCACAGGGATGTGAACAAGGCGCATATAATATAGTAGACTCCTACCCTTCTAGGCAAGATGGCCGCAGTATTGAAGGATGCTAACAGGGAAGATTCCTCCCATATTCATTATTATAATTGTTTCATATTGGTATTTCTGGGAATGTCTGAATTATAGCAGAATCAAATCTGATAAATATACTGTGAGATACACATAGAATACAAAATATTTAAATACGACGTAACAGATTAGAACAAATATATGTATTAATGACCTGGTCTTAGCAAAAGTACCTATTGTACCGAAGGTCATTGGTCGTATCTATGATCGTCTATGATACTCCGTACCCTGCAGCATAGTTCAGGGATGCTTCAGTAATATAGAGTCGGATCGTTGATACTTCTCAATCCGATGGCCGTATTCATTTAGTTTGCAATAGGCTTCTCAGTCTTCTTGGTCATATACAATATATAGAGTAAAGTAAGAATAGAAAGATAACTAGGTAGTTACCTTCCAAGGTTGGAAATTAACAACCTCACTAAGCCAAGTTCCTATCGGTACGAGGTACTTTTTGTACAAATGAGATTGAATTGAGCTTGCGTTCCATAGTAATTAAAAAAAGAATGATTCTTTGTACTCCGTAAAAAATATAGGTTTTAATGCATTGACGGGGAATCGAACCCCGGCCACTACTTAACAACACTTCAGAAAAGTGATATGGAAGAGTAGTATTCTACCACTGAACTACCAAAGCGATTTTGTTGATTGTGCTTCCTTGTAACGTATTATGACCTCTTAAAATATGAAGCATTATCCCCTCATTTGGTCTGGTTCCCCTGGCTTTAACATTGTAGGTGTTGGAGCTTGAACCTCCAAATGAACAACCATCTACTACCCTTCCCATACAACCTGTCAGGACCACCAAAATGGCTGGAACGTGTAGTACAGCCGCTCTGGGATGTCCTAGTGGGAGGACCCACGCAGTCCGCACCACGAAAACCATCGACAACGTCGATTCCTCTTCAAAATAACCAAAGCCTCCCTCCAATCTGCATAATATACATCTCAGACACGCACAATGCAACCCCTCTTCTGCCACCCGGTGACATCCTAGTCCACCCGGGCGATTTAACGGCCCATGGCACCTTTGACGAGGTGCAAATGCAGCTCTGCTGGCTGTCTTCTCAACCACATACCCATAAGATTGTCATTGCGGGAAATCATGACCTTATTTCTTGATGAAGCAAGCGAGATGAAGTTTCTTACGCGCGAGGGAATTAGTGCGGAAGGAACTAGATTGGACTGGAATTCATTATTTGCAAGACGAAGCAGTGACACTGGAATTACCAGTCAACGCTGCCAGGGAGCAGCAAGTGCGCAGGGTGAAAATATACGGGTCTCCAATGACTCCGGAGTTTGGCCTTTGGGCCTTTCAGTATCCTTTGATCCGCGACGTGTGGACTGGGCAGATCCCCGATGATACTGATATTCTGGTGGTGCACGGCCCTCCGGCTCTATATGGTGACTGCGATAGCGAGAAGGGACCGGATGGAAAGATCAAGGTTAAAGGGGATGGGTATCTATTGCGTGAGATACAAAGAGTGAGGCCCAAAATGGTTGTCTGTGGGCATATCCATGGGGCATTCGGTGTTGCTGTCATCCGGCACGATGGAATCGAGGACATTATGAACGGGCTGCAGATGCGATGGGAAGGTTACAGTATCGTTGGAGCTCTCAAACAGACTCTATGGAGCAAGATCACTATGGGGAGAAATTTCGAGCGCCTAGAAGAAACACTCGTCATCAACGCCGCTGTTGCACCAAGTGGGTTGAGAAGCGAGGATAAAAGCGCAATTGCTATCGATTTTCACTGAGGGCAAATATTTATGAGGGCAACAATCCACCACGTCATAATTCATTGGAAAACAAAAGCCGACAGCTCCAGCCTTCAAATAAAATGGATATGCGGTTGCCAATGTAGGATGTTTTTCGTTGCCAGCTGCTCACTGGCCCTTTGGTCCTCGAACGACCCAAGAACCTCTTAGTTATCATGTGGAATTACTAAGGAATCTTCTAGCCGTGCCACCTGGTTTGTCCACTCTGGGGTCAACTCGATATTCTCTCCTCCTTTTGGTACTGCCCCATTTCTTCGCGCGACATGATGGGGTCGGCTTTGCGTGGCAGACCCAGCTCAATACGCTGGTTGAATGACTCGACTAACAAGGCTGGGATAGCAGAAAGAACTGCGTAGCGAGATTCAGAGGGACCCTGTGAATCATGAATAGAGGCAATTGGCCACTTTGTGTACCAAAAATATCCCACTTGGTTTCGCAAACCGATGTTATCGCTTAGAGCCAAGTGCTCATAGAGTCGATATAGTGAAAACAGTGGGGTGTAAAGCAGAAGAAACTGAACGTCAGTTTTACTAGACTCCCACCGGTTCACCAAAACTTCCAGCTTTTCATCTCTAGTGCCAGAACGCGCAAGGAAATCGTGACTGATCCCCGAACTGACAGATGTTTCGACCTTTCCTCCAAGAGGTCTTTTTGTATGTCCTTTGTTCCCATTATTATAAATCCAGGTAGGCCACTGCCTCGAATGAATGAAGTTATGGTGCAATTGGAGCAACTAGGGAAGAATTTGGCCAAACACCCGACTATGTATATGTAACCTGAGAAGGTTAGGGATGAGACAGCTGCGGAAGTACAGAACGACAGCGCGGTGCGATGGATGCGACCTCAAGACGCTATCTGGATGATTGGCTTGATTCGACTTCAATCATTTCTACGAATTCGACTTTTTCAGAACGTCTGATTTTTCTCAAACTCTGAAACAAGGAGATAAATGCCTCTATGGGGTTGTAGATGCCAAACTAAAAAAAAAAAAAAACAGATGCTGGAACAAGACAGCGCATCCCCTCGCAACTGCAACGCCGGTCACGATCACCAGCAGGAATGGAAGACAAAAGAACAGGCATTGACAAAATTATTTCTTTTTGGAATATAATTTGGACTCGTTTGAATTCAGTCAGTATGTTTATGTCCTATCAAACAAACGCAACTAAACGGATATCATCACTCGTAACCCCTTGCTCCTTTTATTTAACCCATTGAAAATGCTTAACATAGCCCAGCCCTGGAAGACAGACAGTATGAAATAAGAAAAAAAAAACACATAATCGAGAAACAAAAAGCACAATCTCGTCTCACATCTCCTCAAATGCACAATCCGGATGCAAGACGAAAAGGACCTTTCCATCATTTTGCTGGGCGTCACTGTCATTGCTATCTGTGAGGCCGGACCCAGAGATACGCAGCAGCATTTTGTCCTACAGAATGAGTTTGTCAGTGATATGCGCTTGGTAGAAATTTACAGATATTGCCATATCAAAGAGCGACTAACCTTGACCATGCGTTTCAAGACCTTGCCTGCCAACTCGCGCTCGCGCTCGTAATCTTCTTGGGTGTTGAGTTCACCCTCAATTTGCTCCAAGTACCAGAGTACAAGATCTTCTTGTTCGACACCTTCACCCGAGTTCACCTCGTCCTCGTGTACCCGCCTGACGATCTGGTTCAGGATCTTGGCGTACTTGTCATAGGTGATCTTGGTCTTCTGGCGTTCTGGCTGGGCAGGAGCTTGAACAGGCTCTGCAACATCGCGCATAGGGCTGTCACCCTCGTTGTCGCCATCGCCCATTTCATGATCTTCGTCGACGTGAGTGGTGTGAGTAGGCATATCGTCATCTTCAATCTCGACATCGTCTTTCTCAACAGTTACGATACTCTGGCGCAGAAGATCGTATGCCTCAATGACGAACTTGGGAATGACCTCCTCGACACAGTTGGCCTTGGCGACAGCTTCAGACAAACGGATCAAAGATTCCAGCTGACGAACGGTGATACGGTATGAAGAGCGGCCAACACCTCCCTGGGCGTCGTTGGCGCGTAGCTCCTTGTATTTCTCAACCAACAGTGTTTTCGCCTCGTCAGTGAAGACGGGGCGGAATGTGCGTGCGAACCGGATGTAGCGCTGCAGTTGTTCAGTGCTCAGCTCAGGCTCAACAGCCTCGTCGCGGTTCATGTGTACGTTGACGATGTGTTCAGCTAAACTGCGGTCAACCGACTCCTTTGGATCATCACGGATAACAAAGAAGACATCGAAACGACTCATAATGGGAGCGCTGAAGTTCAAATTGTTCCGAAGGGTTTGCTTCGGGTCGTAGCGACCGTTAACGGGGTTGGCAGCAGCGAGAATGGATGCGCGGGCATTGAGAGTAGTATGAATACCGGCTTTGGCAATGGAGATAGTCTGCTGTTCCATGGCTTCGTGAATAGCGACCTGATCGGCGATATCCATTTTGTCGAACTCGTCAATAGCACAAATACCACCACCGTTCTAAGGGAAAGATATCAGTACTGAGCCCATGCTCTGAATCGGAGCCAAGTTTGGAACATACCGCAAGCATCAGTGCACCGGCTTCAATGGTGAACTCGCCTGTCTCGGGATCCTTCACCACCGAGGCAGTCAAACCAGCTGCAGAAGAGGCTTTACCACTGGTGTATACTGCACGAGGGTGTAATGAGCAGACGTATCTGAGAAGCACTGTCAGTAAGTAATGTCTATGTGTATGAGTTGTCAAAACTTACTTTAAGAACTGACTCTTACTGGTCGACGGATCGCCAACAATACAGATGTTGATATCACCACGAAGCTTCATGCTCTCAATCGATGTCGACTTGCCAACACCACCAATCAACTGCAAAAGCAGACCCTTCTTGATCTGGCGATGACCCCAGATCATGGGGGCAATCGAGTCCACAAGCCGGGCGTAAATATATTCGGAGTGCACCAGTCGCTTGAGATCCTGGACTTCGGCCGGGGTAAGACTTTGTAAGAAAGCTTCTTGGGCCGATTCATCTCCAAGATCATCCTCCTGATTTTGATTCAAGGAAGCCAGGATATTATTTGACTGGCCACTAAGCTGCTGCTCCGGCTTCTGGCCAGGAGTCGTTGTGTCTGGAGTAACCATGCAAGAAAGGAAGGCCAGTCTGTAAGTCAGATCACGCACACCCAGAGCCTTCAATCCAGAGATTCCGCTACCACCGGCCTCGTTACCCCGGAAGGAATTGTTATCGCGGACAGCTTCAGGGCGCACACCAGGAAGACCCAACTGACTGACATCAGGAACGACAATCAAGGTGCCCGTAAAGACACAGCGTTCACCAGCTTTGGCGCGATCAACCATCTCACCACGCAAGATGACATCCATTGTGCGTGGCATACTACCAGTCGGGATTTCGTGTGACGATTCCTGGAGCTTGACTTTTTGCCAATCGACAAATGTACTCTTTCCGATATCTAAGCGCCATCCCACGCGGTTGCCGCACGTATTATTGGGGCACTCCGTTGGCTCCGTATATTTGAAAGTCTGCTCAACATTCGGGACGACCGTCTTGCAACCTTCGCAGATAAAAGTTCCTAGCGACAATTCTGGTCTGACCTCTGAAGTCCTCGTCACAGTTCCAGAGACAGAAAGTAATTTTCCGATCTGATTTGTCCGAAGTTGTCGCAGTCTGGAAACCAAAGGTAGGTTGTAAAATGCAAGGGCAAACAATTTGTCCGTTTGCTGGTGACGAGTCTTCTCGCGGATTTGACGCTCGAGGTCGGGGTTATCTGAAACGCCCGCATATGCCGAGGCAACTGAGGTACTGGCTCGTGAAGAGGCGCTGGCAGTCATTCGGTGAGAGACGAAGTATTCTGGTTCGTACTTGGCGATGAGATTGTGCAGTCCCTTAGTGAGGAAAGGTTGGAATCGATAGTATTGGCCGGCAATCGCATCTGCCAAGACGGGATTATGGATGTGTGTGAAATCAACGTAGAGAGTCGAGAGCTCGAATTTTTTCATCCCCTTGATCTGAGCGATATAATACTTGTCACTAAGAAACTCCCCTGATGAGGGAGGCGCAGAAGACGAGGGTTCATCGATGTATGACTCAAGTAGCTCTTCAAATGCCTGTTGAACTTTCTCTGCCGCCTCATCGACCACCGGCGGGGGGCCAGGAGCATATGGATTCCGCATACGACTGACTGCTGAGCTTCCCCCTCCGACGACTTGGTCATCTGGGAAGGCATTCATATCACTCATAGGGCCATTGCTCTCTGAGCGTCGGGAACTGGGCAGATTGTCGGATCGGAGGTTCTCACGAGAAGGCGCAGAGCCCAACTCGGACTGAATCACGGCATCGAAAAGGGAAGACATGGTGAAGAGCTAATGGCCTAAAAATGGCCAGTGCAAAAAAAAAAGGGTATTAAGCTCTCACACGTCTTGAGAGGGGGGGGGTAAAAAAGGAAATGTGGAGAGATGATATCTGTAGTCTCAATTTGCTATCTTAGTTTTTCGTGGGTCTCCTTCGCGGGTCTCCTTGGGCAACTAAAGCGCGACGCGAACGCGTATTCGGAAAAACAGTTGATCCTGTAACGACGCGTTAAGTGGTTTACTTATGTAATTATCTAGGCTAACCCGTATAGGTTGTAGGTCCCCTTCATCTTCACTGCAAATAACATTGAGCGTTCTCCTTAGCGCCCCCACTATCGTTCATACGAGGCACACAAATGTTAGTCCCCGGGTTTCCCGAGGTTGTGGCTTGGCTTTTGGATTTTAAATCCCGATACTCCGTACATGTTCATCTTATAACATACAAGCCTACGATCAAAGAACGAACAAGGTAACATATACTTGAAAATTGCATATTTGGTCAGTTTGGCCCCTTTGACCTGAATTATTTGTCAATCCTAATATTAAGAGCTGTAAATTCTAAGCGGGCTTCTGGCTGAGGGAGCTCCGGGTCTTATATCCTTATTTGTCACTTATTGGCGAGTGAAAAGGGGTCTTGTGATTTGATATATCCCAAATCCTGGATACTACTTTACAGTCCGGAGTACAACGTAATATATAACTAAAATGAAGTACATATACACCTCCATACAGATGTAAATGCGACGTTATTTTAAGCACACCGTATGGAGTATATTTATAAACAAGATATTCAAAATCATGCATCTTTCTACGCAGTATGTACACGGTAAAAGTTAGGAAGTCCTAATTATATCACAAGTTGACGGAGATAGGAAGCAATACCACCTCAAGGACAGCGAACAGGTCAATAAAGTATGTTTATGCTTGTTCGGACATACCTATGTATGCTTACTCCGTATAGGCAAATTAATTAAATTGCGCCGGGGCCGGTGTATCCCATTTGGTAAATGGTTGATACTTGGCGCTTATATAAGGCTTCTCCTCCTCCCCCGGGGTGCCCGCACTCGACCATCTGAAACCATCCCATTATTCCCTCGCTGGGAATTAGATTTCCCTCGCGTTGTATTGCTTCGTAAGTTGAAATATTCCGTGCAGGTATGCTTTCTTTGACATCTTTTCTTCCGGGCATCTCCTTCCTGAGTTTCTGACACTGTTCATGACATAGGACTTGTGTGTCTTGCGATGGTTTCTTCCAAATCCCGAGTCCTTGGCTGGAGGAATCTTGGTGACCATCGGTTGGCTATGCAGTTTTGACTGCTTTATTGTGTCGACAAAGGAAATCTATGTTTCCGCAGCTCGACATGTCTGAGAACGAACGACGGTTAGTATCGACACTAACCAGGCCAAGCGCTATCCCGCCGTCGGGCCCGCCTGACACGGATGCATCGGGTATGCCCCTTCCTGCCTTTATCGGACAACCTCCAGGGCTCTTAAGTTGCATGAACACATTAGCTAAAGCTTCCTCGTAGTACCATCTGCCTCGGGCCATGGGCCTCAAACCACCAAACCCGGAAGGCGACGACGCGCCGCCGAATCAAAGAACAAATCTCCCAAGAATCAACACTTCTACTTTGTTGATCAGAATTCGTCATCCAAAGAAAAACGTGCTCATGTTATGCGCCACCATGTACAAGAAAAAAAGAAACAGCGCAAAATGTCGGGCACACTCTCGACAGAGCAAATACCAGACCACACCTCATATCCGGCAAAGAAAGAGACAGGAACTGTCGAAGAGACTCGACTGGGGTCACCCTCGACAGCTGCGCAAAACTTCCCCAGCGGAGAAACTTCGGTACGGGAATCACTTTCCTCTAGTCAAGTATCTAGGTCACAGCCAAAGCTAGACAATCTCTAGGTGTAGGCTTAGTTGCAAAGGATGTTGGATCTAGGTGCTAACACTATGTTGTGCTACAGCTTCAAATTAGATTCTCAAATATGAGATCACAACCTTATACTTCTACACTACCATACATTGGCTCGCCAATCACGATACTCGATGCTTCGCGAAGGGATCCGTTTGCGAGTCTGCCAATGCAATATGACAACAGCGATATTCAATTGGCTGACTATTGGAGGGATAAGTTGATGTACTGGTCTGGACAGAACCTTCATGTGAAGAACCAGATTTTCCGCACGGCTATGGGAAACCCTCTTTCATTCAAAGCAGTAGTCCTGTCATACTGTGCGCGGTGGAAAGCGCAGCTGTACAACATGCCCGATAGCAGCGACATTCAGCGTCATGTTGGTCAAGCCGTGAAACTCATCGATGATGTTAGCTCAGGATCGGCATTGATCAGAGCGGATGATCTGACAATGGCCTTGAGTGGAATGGCCTTGCACGAAGGGCGCTTTGGGAACAAGCAACTGGCCCAGGTATATGTTGACCGCGCGGTCCAGGTCATGCGACCGCGAACAGGAACCAACAGACCGGTGGAAGTGTTCCTTCACTACGTCCGATATCTTATGACCCCAGAAGGCTCCTGGATCGGTTTGGTCGAGCAGCAATGGCTGGTCAGTTTTCTCCGCGGAGCTGAAGATCTCATGCGGCAACACAGCTCCCCCGACTACCTCCTCCAAGCACCCCATAGGCTCAAGGCTTTCCAGATGGAAAGTCCTCTATTTTCCTTACTGTCTAGTGGACCCCGGCCCTCCCAAGTGCCGCATGCGTCACGTGTATATGTGGTTCGCGATGCGCATACCCAAGAGGTCAGCCAAACGGCTTCACTCATTTATATTACGGCTGCACTGTGGACTTTCAATGAGTCCCCAGATAAAACCGACCGGTTCCTTCAGTTTTTGTGTACCACGGTAAAACAGCACCATCTCGATCGGGATCCAGCTTGTGAAACCCTTTTGTGGTTACTGTTGGAGGAAGGATATGATTCCGATTTACAAGACCCTGAACGTGCATGGTCCACTGGTGAGCTACTCAAGGCGCACAAACAGCTACGGCCGGATCTCCAGTTCCAGTTCAATGAGATTCTCATGAGTTTCTTATCTTTTCAGACACCTATCCGTGGAGTCACCGCATTTGAAGAAGATCTTCGACAAAGTCCACATAGTTCTCAATGACATATTTTATTATTTTAATTCAACACATCTACTCTGTACTCCGTAGTCTATACAGGAATATAAATACGGAGTAAGGTATCGACACACAAAATTCAGGCACGAGTGGAATGTCTTGGCAGCGCTGGACCCGAGTACCAGGATAAGTCTAGTCATTCCCAGTGGAGAAGACAAAGGGGGAAGTTCCAGGGCTGCCTTTTATATATATATTTTTTTCCATATTTTCAGACCATTTGATATGGATTCTTTGCATACTTTGTATACTTTATATACTCTGTACATAGTACTATACAATATAAAAGAAAAATAGAAAACATCCTTTGCCACAACACTTGGCAAATCTCCATTTGAGTAGCACTACGTAACGCCGAAGTATCTCCACAGCAAAACCGACCAGATTACCCGTACCGCGTCACACCTCCACTTATGAGATCAGATCCATACAGTAATTTGCTGACTCTTAACATGTATACGAATGTTGTAGGTATGTTGTAGTAGATCGTCGGTGCTAGGATAGACCCTAACCTTTACATGAAAATGAATTTTCCCCCCCTCTGGAATATATTATTATTAGTATTAGTCTTATTTTAGTAAATGCCTTTATCTGGGGGCGCAGCTGAAGTTCAAGTAAAAGCGTCAACTCATTTTTGCTCGCTAACTTTACCTACACTTCTATATGGATACATATTCCGCACTGATTTGACTCGCAAAGGGGGTTTCATGCAAATCTGGACCCACCGAACACACGGATCCTGGTCAATAGTGCAACTAGCTACGCTTTAGCGCCTATTCGGTGGCCAAAAAAAAATCCCGATCTACAGGAGTTATTGGGTTACAACTCATGAGATTATCATTTGATCGCCTCATGACTGGGAATTAGTATGCAACCGCAATCATGTTGATCGGAAAACAAAGCAAGAAGTACTCCGTATTTCGTAAAATAAAAATAAGCAATACAAACTTGTGTCCTTCCAGACTGGGACTCTGACCTGTGGAGACACAATATACATATATACCCCTGGATTCCCTAAGGGCCGAATATTTGCGAGGATTCTGTACGGAGTACGGAGTACTTTCGTACAGAGCACGGAATATTTTGAAGTTTTTTTTTTTTGTCTCACAGTATCCCTTGCACGGTTAATTAACATCCCTGTTAAATGCCCAGGTAAGCGTCATGATCGTCATGGGGTGAAGGAGCTCATGTTCGAAGATGTGGCTGGGGATGTGTGGCGGACATCTCCGAGTCGGAAAGGCTGGAGAAAAAAACAAAAAGCATCGTCCCATGTGATTTCAAAAGAAAAGAGGGTCATTGAAGGCGAGGAAGAATTGGATCTTTGGTTCGAATCTGGACCATTGCGAGAGAAAGACTGGAAAAGCCCCCCACTTATACTTGCCACCCATGGATTGCCTAACGCTAGATATCATATTAAGTTCAGCAGAAAAAAGAAAAATAAATTGAAAATTAGAAAATCCCAAAATCGGAAATTTATCCAAATAACACGAAAAATGTAATCTAAAGATACTCCAATTACGTCGCCAGATCGCAGATCCTAGCCCCTCTTCTCGCTGTTGTCCCATGGGTCTCTTTACTAAACTTTAAGCTTTCTCTTTTTTTGTTTTTTCTTAATCTTTTCTTTTCTTTTCTTTTTTCCCTCTTCTCACAGACATTCGGGGAAGACTTAACTTCCCTTCCCCTTCCCCTCAACACTTCACATATGCATTTGTATCGTGATTTGGACATTTGAATATACCATCGCAAATACCACAACGATGGCTAACGATGCCGTTCACTGGCTGGGTGCCAGGGATGAGGTAAGCTCTACACATCTGTGTAGTTGGTTGTTTACTAATACCGATTTAGATCTCCGAGGAGGACAACTCGCCGTCGCTCTCTTCCCTGCTCACTGTCCTGATCCCCGCCCTCATCTCCTTTGCTGTGATGGTGTGTCTATTCATCATCCTGCGCGGGAGCAATCGCAGAATGTACATGCCTCGAACCTATATTGGATATCTCCGTCCCTGGCAGCGCACCCCCGCTTCTCCGACTGGACCCTGGAATTGGATCAAGGCCATGTATCAGCTTCCCGACACCTACGTTCTGCAGCACCACTCAATGGATGCCTATCTCATGCTTCGTTTCCTGAAATTGTGCTCCATGATTCTGTTTGTGGGTTGCTGTATCACTTTCCCTATCTTGTGGCCCGTCAATGCCACAGGTGGTGGTAGACAGATTCAACTGAACCAGGTGACCATTTCAAATATTCACGAATCTCAATACGGACGATACTACGCGCATTGCTTCATTGCCTGGATCTTTATCGCCTTTATCTTTTTCACGGTGACCCGGGAGCATCTATTCTATATTAACCTACGCCAGGCGTACCTTTACTCGCCCGCCTACGCTAGCCGAATCTCATCTCGCACCGTTTTGTTCACCGCCGTTACCCAGGACCTCCTGAACAAGGACAAGCTTCGTACCATGTTCGGCCGCGAGAAGGTCAAGAATGTCTGGATTGCCACTGATACCAAGGAACTCGAGGATAAGGTCAAGGAACGTGATTCTGCTGCGATGAAGCTCGAGGGTGCCGAGACCAAGCTCATTATGCTGGCGAACAAGGCGCGCAACAAGGCTCTCAAGAAGCAGGGCTCCACCGAGAACCCAGAGATCGAGATTGGCGATGGTCAGTTTGATGATGAGTCTGGCTCCGTCGCTGCTCGTTGGGTGGAGGCTAAAGACCGTCCCACCCACCGCCTGAAGATGCTTATTGGTGAGAAGGTCGACACTATCAATTGGGCTCGTTCGGAAATCGAGCGTCTCTCTCCCGAAATCGAGGAATTGCAGGCTAAGCACCGTGCCGGTGAAACCAAGCTGGTCTCCTCGGTCTTTGTCGAGTTCTACCACCAGGCCGATGCCCAGTCTTCCTACCAGTCCGTCGCCCATAACCTTCCCCTGCACATGAGCCCTCGCTACATTGGTTTGGACCCTACTCAGGTTATCTGGTCCAACCTCCGCATCAAGTGGTGGGAACGCCTCGGTCGCCACACTGCTACCGTTGCCTTTGTTTGTGCTATGATCATCTTCTGGGCCATCCCTACTGCAGTTGTTGGTGCGATTTCCAATATTGACTCTTTGACCAACATGGTTCCTTTCCTGAAGTTCATCGACAGTGTTCCCTCATGGATTAAGGGTGTCATTACAGGTCTTTTGCCCACTATTATGATGGCTGTCCTTATGGCACTGGTACCTATCATCCTTCGCCTAATGGCTAAGTTGGGAGGTGATCCTTCTCTCGCCGCTGTTGAACTTACCGTCCAAAACTGGTTCTTCGCTTTCCAAATCGTTCAGGTTTTCCTCGTGGTTACCATTGCCTCAGCGGCAACTAGTGTCGTGACCGCTATTATTAACAACCCCGCCTCAGCTGCCTCGCTGCTGGCCGAGAAAATCCCTAAAGCGTCCAACTTTTACATCTCCTACATCGTTCTCCAGGGGTTGTCTTTCAGCGCCGGCGCTCTTCTCCAAATCACCGGTCTGATCCTCGGCAAGGTCTTGGGTCGGTTGCTGGATAGCACCCCTCGCAAAATATATACTCGTTGGTCAAGCTTGGCTGGTCTCGGATGGGGCACGGTCTACCCATCCTTCACATTGCTGACTGTTGTCGGTATGTTGAAAAACCCCCATGAGCGATTTATTTTGATTTTGATACTAACTTTTGTCAATAGCAATCGTTTACTCTTGCATTGCGCCGCTTGTCATGGGCTTTGGTACCATTGGTCTCTACCTGTTCTATTTCGCCTACCGCTACAACATGCTGTACGTGTCGAACGCAACCATCGACACCCAGGGTAGGTGTTACACCCGTGGTCTGCAACATCTCACTGTCGGCTGCTACCTTTCCATGGTTTGTCTGATTGGTCTGTTCGCCATGGGCTCCGGTGCCAATAGGATGGCTCTCGGTCCTCTGATCCTGATGATCATCTTCCTGATCTTTGTCATCCTGTACCACCTTGCGATGAACAGTGCCATGGAGCCCCTCCTCAACTACTTGCCCAAGAACCTTGAGGCAGAGGAGGAGAATCTACTCGCCGCTGAGAGGGCCAACGTCGCTATCTTGAACGAAAAGTCCAAGTCCGACGATCAGACCAGCCCCAGTGACTCTACCTCAGCCCCTCGCGACAGCGGCCTCGGAAACGTGGACTCTGCCGAAAAAGGTCTCACCGAGACCTCATTGCCAGCGCCCAAGCCAAATATTATTACCAAGTTCCTGCGCCCGGACCTGTATAGCAACTACCACGAGATGCGCAAGCTGGTCCCCAGTGCCGCAGACATCGTCGTTTACCCCGCTGAGGCTGAGCGTGATGCCTACTGCCACCCAGCCGTTAACTCGCAGCCCCCCTTCTTTGGATTCCCCGCGATCCGCTCGGCGTCAGCTCCCAGGAAGTCGCACACACCTCGCGCGTTATCCCCATCACCGATGAGGATGCTTATCTTGACGAGAACTGCAAGATCCAATGGAACGAGGAGAAGGGCGAGCCTCCCATCTACGAAGAGAAGATTGCCTACTAAATTTCCTTTCTCTTTACACGCTTGACCTCGACCTAGTTCTCGTTCGAGTGTCTAGTCAACTCTATGTCTCACCGGCCGGCGAATGTATTCTGTCTATATACCCTGTATACAGACATGTCATTGCCGACCCGGTTTCTTTTGGTCTACTGTGATACCCAGCCGGCTAGTCCAAGTGACTGGCTGGCTCCAACCTGGGCATTTTGTTTTTTTTTTTTTTGTTTTTTGTTTTGTCCATCTACGATTAGTCTGGAACTTACACACCTTCCGGGCCTTTCGCTTCTCTTTTCTATAATCTTTTAAAGTAATCAATTGGTGGTGTTTGTTCCCGCCTCATGTCGATGATGTTATGCGAGGATCTTGACCATGAAATTGGAAATCTTGACCATGCTTGATGATTCTTTTGGAGTATTTATTGTATTATATTCACCCGGCCACTTTTGATTTGCGTTGTGAATGATATGGATGATTTTTTTCTTCTTTTATCTTTCTGTCCCACGTACTTAGTTCCTTACTCTATCTATACTATAAGTTTTATTCTAAAATTCCAAGTCTCGTCTAATCTAGTGCGATATTATGCTCTATGCAGACCATTGACTAAAAAAGAGCGTCGCTTTTCGTAAAATGAGTGTAGATGTCTCCCAGGAAAATCATCTGGGCAGTACAACCATAAGAATAAATACCCTTCGCAACTGAATCAAGCCACCGGTCAAATCCATTGTTCTGCACGCTTTCCCTGTTCTTTCCCAGTCCATCCCTGTCCACCTACGCTTCTTCCGAAGGATCCACCTCTTCAATAATTCCTGATTCAACGAACTGTGCCCATGAATGGACATACTTGTTTCCTTTGCTAGAGATGATCGAAAATCCACCATTTGGCTCCTCGCGGATATCCCCGGAGAGACCCAGTATCTCCTTGAGCGAGTCTGTACTAAGCACCTGGCGAATGTTCTGGGACTTTTCTTCCTGTAGACTGATCATCCATCTGTCAATGGATGCCTTGGCTACAATTTGGACGTACTCAACTGAGCGCGGTTGTCCAATGCGGTATAGACGACAGTACGCCTAACAATTTATGGTTAGCCTGCCAATGGCCTTTTATTCCTTCTGAGATCTGGATCTCGACTCTCTTACCTGGTCTTGAACAGCTTCATTCCACCAAGGATCCACGAGGATGCACTTGTTTGCCATAGTCAAATTGAGACCAACGCCGCCAGTCTTTAGTGAAGAAATCATAACCTTGATATCGTTGTCTTTGCCGAATTTCTCAATCTCTTTCTCGGAGTATCCGGCCTCTTCGATGGGTTTGGTACATTTGCTGCAGATGCGGGTGACAGCCTCAGTTTTTCCATCTTGGTCGGGAAGTTCATCAAAGCAACCTTTGCAATAAACGTGTTCACAGGATGTGACCACAAATGCCTTCTTTCCTGATACGAGTTCCTCGCAACGAGGGCATTTCCTGCGGAGAAATTCGGCAAAAGATCCCTCTTCTTGACGGATGTCCACGATTAATTTGTTGTATATACCAAGAAGATCATCAAAATCTCCTGGAGGCTTTGGTCGGAGAGCAATCCTATCTCCAAGTTCGAGAATCGAGTTGATGATGACTGTTGATGGGGTCTTGGCCACACCTTCTTGTGCCATGGCTTTGAGCTCTTCAACGACACGTCGATTGAGCACGGTCTCGAGGAACTTTTGGGTGAGGAGCGGGTGGCTCACAAACATTCTCAGCATTGTTATCACTGCCAAGATGCATTTGCATTGCTTGTGCTTTGTGTCGGCCAAGCCTGATAGACAGGGTTAGTGCTTAGTTTCTTCCTCACTGGTATTGCCAGACCTACCATTGATCATTGCAATACCAAGCTCCTGAATTTCCCTGTAAAGAAGCTGTTCAGCTGAGCACAGTTCGACCTCCATGACTCGGTTGTGAATGCCCGGAAGCGTGACGATTGGCTTGCCAAGTATCCAGGTACTGTATGTACTGCGATGCAGTACGGTCTCGAGAATGTGATCCAATCCCTGAGAGGTTAGTTTTGGATTTTAAAATAAAGGCCACACGCGACTAACATTGGAGAATTTTCTCATGAAGGTCTCGTATTCCATTCTTTCTGATGTGTAGATGAAATGCAAGTACGGGTAAAGTTCTTCAACGCCGCTAGAATATATAGTCAGTACGAAGAATTCCGGTCATTTCAAAGCTGCTTACTTGTGCAAAGGTGTTCCGCTCATAACCCATTTGAATTTGCCCTTCAAGGCTCGGACAGCGATAGAGGTCGCGCAATCTTTGTTCTTGATCGAATGAGCTTCTACAAAGCGGAATTAGTACCAACAGCCATGTATGTGTTTATAGCAATGCCATGTCATGGGCATACCGTCAAGAATAATCCGGCGCCACTCAACCTTGTGAAAAGGTCCAGCTCTGCGATCGTATTCCATTTCTCTCCAAGCCTCAAGCTCTTCAGTAGACTTGAGGTCTACCGGGGGCTTCAACTTCGGATGTGAACTGCAGACTTCGTCATATGTGGTGATACTAAAAGGTCAGTGAACATGAGACAGTGACTGGCTTTAAATGTTAGCTTACACAATGAGGTTTTTTTGCATCGCTTTCGCAATATCATTCGCGCCTATTCGTGAACCAGCGTAATACTGAAGAACCCCTTTGCTTATCTTTTCCACGCAATGCACAGAGATTTGGTCGATCCTATAACATTCGAGTTAAAACACACCTCTTATTTTGGAGTCGAGGGATGAGACATACCACTGTGTAATCAAACTTCTCGGAGCAATGATCAGTGTCGGGGCCTTTGAACGACCTGAGAACTTCTCATGCGCGATAGTTGCTTGCGAAAAAGGGTGAGCTTTCTGACAATATGAGTGTAAATTCTTTGTTCTTACTGAGAACTGTAAGGGTTTTCCCAAGACCCATCTCGTCGCAGAGTAAGCCTCCATTTGGCTCCTCTTTCGAACTTTCCCGAACACGCTATGCAGATCAGCTAAATATGATACCATAAAACCTGGAGTATAAAGCTTACCATCCACGCAGCGGCTTTGAGCTTTTTCAATGGTTAGTCACATATCAAAAGTTGGGCTTGATAGATTTCGAACCTGATGGTGCTTCAAAAGGGTTGTAAGACCTCTAACCTTCCAGTCCATGTTGACAATTGACGCCGAGGGGTTGAACTTCTTTGAATCCTCAATCAACGCCGTTGCATCTTTTCTGGCCTGTGGCTGGTCATCAATTGGGAGCTTTGCAACTTCCTCCGCGAGTGCCTTTGCCTTGTCCTTTTTTTGCGACACTGGGATAGCCTGCTCAAAATTGCTAGCATTTTCCTTCGCAACACTGAGAATATTGCTGGTCATCAAGCTCTTGACTTTCTCTTCTAGGGTCGATGTGGTCGTCGCCTTGTTCCCCTTGGCGCGTTTCTTTGACCGTGCTGCCCTTGCTGGCTTGGGAGAATACTCCATTGGCTCAAAGTCGCTATCATTGTCAGAAGAAGGGTCCGAAGTCTCGGAATCACTTGATGTCTGGTCGTCGGAGGCCTTGAACTCGTCGTCAGAAGGCTGCCCATCATCGAGGCTTTCCTTCGAGTTTTTTTATCCACTAATTTCTCGTCGGGTGACTTGGGCAAATCCTCTGGGTCGAAGTAATCCTGGCCCTGAACTATTTTTGAATCGGAATCTGCTATGCGCAGTTCCTGGCTTGGACTGCAAGCTAGGATGCCACCATCAAGGCTTTCTTTCGAGTTAGATTCATCTACCATTGTTTCCTCAGGTACCTTGGGCACATATTCCAGTTCGAGGTCATCATGGCGATGGTCATTCTTTGAATCGAGACAAGCCATGTGCAGTTCCTGGTTTGGCTTGCAAACTGAGATGCAGACTTCCAGGCTTGCCTCCTTCTCCACATTGCTCACCAGATTCTCTGGTTCCGTCTTCAAATTATGGATAGGAGTTGGGATGTCTTTTGGAGCCTCGTCAACTGGATTCGTGATGTTTTCAGTGGGTCCATCCATTTTGGACTGAGTTTGCATGTTCAAAGCACAAGATAGATCAGGCATGATGCTGTAATATCGAGTGACAAGGTCAAGATAAGACCCAAGCACAAACAGGGACCGTTCTTCTTTGTGCTTCTGCTTGGGGGCCTTTGGGTGGAATTGCAATGAGAAAATTGGAAGATTGAGCGATCAAAGTTAGGTAGAGAGGTTGGATGGGTGCGAACTTAAAATGGAGGATGAGGAAAATGAACCCAGTGAGCTGTTTTAGAGATGAAGCAAGGATTCAAATATAGCAATGAATATGGTCCTGAAGGCTGATTTGAAGAAGATATTTAGAACGGAAGCGCGAAAAGAATTGAGTTGAATGGGTTAAAATGAGACAGAGGGAGACAGAGGACGGTGAGAGAATGGTGGTTGGGTATCATAAAGGTGGAAGAATCAATTAGCATATATGGAGAAAGGTTGCCGGTGACGAAGAGAGTGAAGGAATAAGAGGCAAAGGTTGAGAAAATGAAGAACAAGGAGGTATGGGTTGGGTATAGAGTAGAAGGATACTGAGTGATGGAATGGATGCTGTGAGTCTGACAGAGATGGAATAGATGTTGATGGAATAACTTACAAGGAAGATAATAAAAAGAAAGATGGTTAGAGAATGAAGGAGACGAGAAGAGATAGTTCGAAAGCAAATTATATGCGCCAAGATGTTCGGATTTGGTTAAGTAGAGTGAAGACAGCGAAGATTAAGGATGTTAAAAGAGATGAAGTTGGCAAATAAACGTCTTGCCTGATTCGGTTTATGACTATTCATGAACGATTGAGTGGCAGCTTTTTAGGCAACTCAGGTTTGAAGTTATATATGTTAACTACATTATGTAGAGATAATCAGATTATGAGTTGAAGTATAACATCTCTGATATCCCCTTTTTTATATTCAATGTCTTTTTGGACATCTTCCTCGATGTCCTGTTTGATATCTTATTTAATATGTTGGAAGGCGTCCTTTTGGATATCTTTTTCGATATTATTTTCCACATTTCTTTTTTAAATACTTTCTTCAACATCTTTCTGGGTGTCCTTTTGATATCCTGGACAATGTACATACTATATATTCCCCCTCCTTCACACCATCCATCCTTCATATTTCCTGTTTTAGTTCTTATTGCTAGCTATACTGTCCTCTACAGCACAGCTTATGCTTGTATTTTTTGTTCTCCAATTAATCTCATTACCTAGGGTGAGGGTTATAAAAGATTCTTGCTTCCTTCGCACCATTCATCCTTCACATCCCCTACTGCTGCACTATTCTCCACAACCCCGCTTGTACTTTTTCTTTCTCCAATTACCCTCTCCATATACTCGTCCTTGTTTATCCGCGTTCTTGACACTCCCAAAATGCAATCGTCTGAAAAGGAGAAACGACTCTATCATGATAGGGCCCCTGAAAGTGCTAAGTCCGAGCTCAATGTAAGCGACGGAAACCTCACTTTTGGGCCGGCCAAGGAGATGTATAACGTGTCCAAGCCCCCAATTTACCCAGTACTACAAAGCTCGGGTAATGATCAATCTACCTCCGGTGGACTGGATTGTCCGCGGATCAAGAAAGAGGTTCCTGATGAGAATGGCCAGGCGATCAAAACCTGGGAAATATTCAAGCCAGTGACAATCAAACAAGAACCGGGCATCAAACATGAACGATTCATTAAGATGGAGCCACAGGAGTCCAACAATTCCCAGCGAGTTCAAGACCGTTTCATCATTGATCTCACAGAAGAAGAGGATTCATCCCAAAAACGACCAAGGCCGCGTGCGGAATTATTGGCGGCCATTTACCAGCACCGGAAGGCCGCCGCGACCAAGCCAATTGAAATAGTTGAACAACCAGTTGAAAGTTTGTTCGTGCAAGACCATGATTCCTCACGCTCTATCACACCCAAGGCTAGCGAGTTGTTCCTTGAGCTAGCCGAAGATGGCATTTCAAGGTAAGTGTCAAGAAAGCCTCATGGGGATGATGATCTAATGAGCCTAGATTCAATGAATATCAGAAATGGTTCCAAAGCCTGCAATCCCCTTCAATCGAGCAGCAGGTTGAGTTCGAAAAGCGGAGAGAGGAAGAGCTCGAACGAAGGAGAAAAGTCAAGAACGACAAGCTTTGTGGCCTGCATGTCCAAGTGGAATCGGAAGGGGAAACAGAGAGCGAGAATATTTCTTCTTCTGGCTTGAAAGAACAGCCTCAGCCCGAAAGGAAGACTGAGGCAGACTTGAAAAAGACTGCTATAGTAAAGCCACCGGGTACACGACTATCAAAATTGCGGATCAAAAAGGCCAAAGAAATCGGCCTTGCTCAGCTGCTTTCGAAGGAAGGGGCTCGAAAGCGTGCTAAAGCTAATGAAACCGAGCCTGAAACGGAGCAAGCATCTGGCCCAACAGAAAAGGAGGGAAAGGTTCGACGTCCACCCACGGTATTGTCAAAGGAAGAAGTCCGAAGCATTTTCGAAAATGATGGTGGTCGCAGAGATGGCAAAGATCCATTACCGCCTGGGTTCGTCTCCACAGAGAAAAACAAGCAAAAGGCATTTAGAGAGATGCTTGCTAGTATCCCAGTTTCAGAGAAAGCCGGAGCACGTGCAGACATATCCGTCCTGGATGAAGCAACACGGACTTTCAATCCATCCGCAAAATCAGACGGACAAGGCAAATGGAAGGTCAGAGGGGTGAAAACGAGCCTCATGGTGAACCAGGTTTGTGTCCACTTCCACATTCACATTTATAAAATGCAGCACTAACTTTGAGGGTAGATTCTGGCTACTTCATGGATGGTGAGTGAGGATTTCTTTCTTCGAACCTCAAATTTACTAAGCAATATAGTGCAAACGTGAAACCTCTTCGAGCAAGCCGAATGGCGGCTTACTCTGCGATGTGATGGGCTTTGGCAAGACGCTGTCAGCACTAGGTGCGAAATAAAACTGTGTGACTGTGGCAATACAGAGCTAAACATTTCTAGCCTGCGTTGTGAACCGAAGGGTGCCATCTGAGCCCGAAGGTCCGACTCTGATTGTTGCCCCCAGAAATTTGATACAAACCTGGTATGGCCTCTTATTCGGGCATATTAAACATTACACTTTAACACTGATGTCGCAGGATGTCGCAGATTCGGCAACATTGTGAGCCCGGGGCAGCCGGAAGCGTTATTGCATATTACTCTGGTGCACGTCTGGAAACCGACAACCTCACCTACTATCTAAAAAATCACGGCATTGTGTACGTATTCCTTTTAACCCGAGATAACGTAAAGCTAACAATGGCTAGTGTGACAACATACCAGGAGATATCCTCCTCCTATCCTGATCTCAAAGCGCCCACCGGACTCAAGACAGATGCCGCTGTCAAAGAGTGGTGGGAGAGTGAATATGATAAGAAAGTTGGAGCCTTTCATCAAATCAACTGGCACCGAATCATTCTCGATGGTAAGGAAATAATGATTGAAACATGGTACCTAATAAGACAGAGACTAAGTAAAGTCTATAGAAGGGCACATTATCAGGAACAGGACGACCAGAACGTCGATTGCGGTTCGTGCTTTGAGTGGGAATTTTAAATGGGCTTTAACCGGAACACCTTTGCACAAGTGAGTACAAGTGTTGTCTAAATCCGAAAAGGAATCGAAGCTAACTTTTAAGAATAGCTCTGTTGATGAACTTTATGCTCTCTTTTCATTTGTTGAGGTGCCCAACAGCCATCCTTACCACATTTTCATGCACAACTTTTGCGACGTAAGTTGTTTTGTTCCAGTGCAGAGAAGTGTATATTTAACAATACTCGGTCAATCTAGGGGACGGAAGTTGCTAAAAAACGTTTGATCAATACGCTTCGCGCCATAATTCACCGCAAGACCCACGAAAGCCGTTATATGGGAAGACCCTTTATCGAACTCAAAAGGTTCGATCTCAAGGAAGTCAAGCTTGAGTTTTATCCAGCCGAAAAACAAATCTATTCCGCAATCGCAGAGAGATTCATCGCGAAAGTCAATAGTGAGTTTTGAAGCCCTCCGATGTTGTAATCAATCGAATTCACTACTAATGTGGCTATAGCTATTCAACGGAAAACACAGAACAAATGCATTTTGACGATGATTCTAAAGCTGCAGATGTTCACCAGTCATCCATCCACTTGCCGCAGAAGATTACCTCAAGCGAGTCTGCAACTTCAACAAGGGCCTGGATGCAAAGCTAAAGAGTTGGGTGAAAGATGAAACGAGTCCAGGAAAACCGTCTCCTTCAAGCCAAATTGCCAGATGCTGTATTTCAGGGACATACCAAACCAATATGCCTATAGCTCCTCTGCGATCTAGAGCAGAGAGCGAAAATCTTCGACCACGTCCGGCTGGAAATTGCGCGAAGCTTGTTTCCAAGTTCAAGTATAAAATTGGGGCACTCTTTAAAAATGGGGGCTGGTATGAGGGTGATCATCGCACCTGGTTCTGTCCTGGCTGTGAGGGACTCCCAACAAGGGCAATTATCACGGACTGTCAGCATCTTTATTGTGAAGAATGCTTTGATGCACTGGGGGACGAAAATGGAAACACCGATGGTATCGCTCGATCGTGCTGCTCTTGCAAAATTCCCATCAAAAAGGCTGCGTTCTATGGACTCTACGATGACTTTGATAAACCTCAAATGGAGAATACCGAGTCTTCTCTTGAACCGGCGAGCCAGCAAAAGCGACCGGCCGCACCAGGGATAAGACCAGCAAATAAGACTCAAACCAAAAAACGTCGAAAGGGTAAATATCCTGGTCCCACTTTCTCGGAATGGCTTTTGGACGATGAAAATCAAACTCCATTTGACGACGAAAGCGAACATGAAAGCCAAGACGAGGCGGAAGACGAAACCTCTGATGAAGGCGATGTTCCCTGTGAGGAATAGATTGACCAAGGACAGGATTGGATATCGACATTTGGGAGAACCATGCCAGGCGCCAAATTTGATGCAATCACGTCTCAAGTCAAAGATTGGTTTGAAAAAGACAGCACAGCCAAAATCGTAATTTTCACACAGTATGTCAACAGCACCAGGCTTTTGCGTTACTTGTGTGAAGAGAAGGGCTGGAAATACTCCCAAGTAAGTTCTTCAAGACAATGAATCACCACAGCGCATACCTAATTTCGCCAGATTACCGGTCGAATGGCTAATAGGTCACGAGAAATTCATCTGGACAGATTCCGTGACGACGATGAAACCAAGATTATGATTGCTTCAATCAAAACGGGTGGCCTAGGTCTTGATTTGTCCGTGGCCAACAAATGCATCCTAGTTGATCTATGGTGGAATGAGGCTGTCCAAGACCAGGTATGTGGACATGGGTGAATGAAAACCTAAAGACTCCAGTGTTCTAACCATGCAATGGTAGGCATTCTTTCGTCTTTGGCGTCTTGGCCAACAGCGAAATGTCGAATGTATCATGCTCATAGTCAAAAGTTCCATTGACGAATGGATGGATAGTATCCAGAAGCGAAAAGCTAAAGAGATCGGCGAGATCATGAGTCAGAATGTACTCATGGACCGAAACACGCTCAAAGAACTACTTGAGATGTTTGGTGAAGTTACTGAGGACCCAACTACGGGATACAGGGTCAGCTTAGCCAAAAGTGCTCCCGAAGTCACGCCCAAAGGCACATTCAAAGGCACATCCAAAGACACATCCAAAGGCCCTTCCAAAGGCCCTTCCAAAGGCACTACCAAGGGAAAAGCTGCTCGGTCTGCGCCTCCTAAGAAACGGAATTAGCTTACTAAAGTCTTCACAGGCATGGGCAAGAAGATGAGAAAAGAATGACCAAAAAAAAAAAGAATGAAAAACGAAAACCATCAAAAAAAAACCCCCCCCGATGATACGGCCAATGGCATTATGCGTCGCAGGGTGGATTTGAGATGAACTGCTTATGGCTGGAATGGGTATTCATTTTAGTGGGGGGACATTTTCCAGATTCCAGGGCTCTACTCAGTGTAATTACCATAGCAGAAGCGACGCCCATTTTTCGCCGGTCAACATGAATGCCAATATCACATTAAGCCTAGGAAACCTACACAAGTAGAATAAAATATTTCAAGTTCCCAGCTGTGGCTATCTTGTTCTCCGGATTTACCCTGTAAAATGACATATATGTAGATATTTCAAAAGACATTTCAAAAGATGTCATCCTTGTCTAAATAAGTATTATATACCTACCTCAGTGGCTCAGTGGATGGAGCATACCTTAACATCTGGTGTGGGGGATATAGGATATTCCCAACCCTGTGTGACTGGTAACCTGCACCCTGGAAATAAATTTGCGTGCTCTCCTATTTGTCTTTTTTGAATATAACCCGTGGGGATCAGAATTTGCTAAATTTGGCACATCTTTTTCCACCATTGTAGATATACAGTGTCTTAGATCTACAAGAATGTTTACACAGAATAAATTTTCTGCTTGAAAAAGAATAGAAAAGATTCATCGACTATCAATAAGCTAGTCATACATGCCGTGAATCTTGAAAACATATTCGAAGTAAAAACACAAATCCGAAGATAACAGATTGTGTCGAACAGGCTAGAGTCTAGAGATTTTCACAAGATAGAGTGGATATCATGTGAGGCCATCATAATGTTAGATCGCAAACAATCTCAGATCAAGAAGTAACTCTTCCCCAGACTACTGGCCCTGTTCCTCCTGCTCCTCGTCCACATTGTCCTCGGGGGTGATAATGGTAACCTCAGGGGAAACACCTCGGCCCTCGTGTCGTTGGAATTGGAGGACGCGGCGAACATCAGTGTTGAAGTTTGTGTGAGCCTGAACGGTAGTATCATCGCGCAAAGCCTGGTGGCGGCTAGAGCGTGCCCTGCTAAGTTGTCCTCGCTGGTAGCTTGCTTCAATTTCCTCAATCTCGCGAATCTGGGTATCAGACAGCCTGCCATCATGCAGAAAACGATCCTCTTCCTCAGTTTCCTGTGTCTCATCAACCCAGATGGTTCGCAGAATCTCTCGACCGCGGCGCATGTGACGCTCGTGAGATGGGCTATCGTGAGGTTGGACGAAATCAGACATATCGCGGTTGAGTGGCAGACCGAAAGCATCGCGAGGGCCGGTGGAAGCTTCATTCCAAGCCAAGTTGTGATCATCATCTTCCTCTTCATCAGAGGAGCTATCAAAGTCTGAGCGACTGACATAGATGTTCTCCTTATCCTCTTCCACGGTGTGGAAACCTTCCTGCAGAGGGCTGGGCTTGGGTGTCTCCTTGTCCGGTGGGTCTTCATAAATGGTAAAGTTCAAGTTCGAGGGTCGGTGAGACTCCCAAACGCGCAAGCTGGTCTTTCCTTTGCTGTCAGGCAGCTCGAGGGGCTCCATGGGAGCCATCGCAGCAGGAAGAGCCGGAGGGCTGGGAGTCACAACAGGCTTAGCGTCTTCAACCTCTTCGGGTAGATCGGTTCCTAGATTTGGAATAATGAGCGGCTCGTCCAATATTTGGGAATAAACACAAAAAGGAATGAGATAGAGAGACTTACCAGATGGATTCATGCGAGACATCTCATCCTCAGGAGCCATGCTAGATTCGTCGATGGCAGGAGTTGATTCCAGTGAGTTGTTTTCATAGTAAGAAGGATCGAGGTACCAAGGGAGGGGAGGTTCACTGATCTCCCGACGTCTCTGCGTGCGTGGTGATGTCACAGAGTCGCGCTTATGCTTGTGATTCAATCTGATGGAAGGGGACGAAATGAAAGCACCGGCTTCAATGTCCTCTTCTATCGAGGGTAGCACGAATGGGAATGGAGGATTAGTGCAGATGTGGGCGAGCTAGGTGGTGAACGCGGAAGAGCGTCAAGTGTTAGCTTGATGGGAAAACAGATGGATAGCGCGCACCCAAACGGGGAGAAACGCCGAGAGAATTACTTACCCCATCCTCGTTCACTTCAAGACTTACCTCCACTTCTACAGGTTCCGTTTTTCAAAGTCTGCATAGCCATTCGATTAGCTTACAATGCCATTCGTGAACGTTGCAAGTCTTTCTGTCGCGAATGTCTCCAGCCGACCAATTTGTCTGACTTATACCTCTTTTGAAGGGAAATTGTACCTTGGAGAAAGATATGTAGCAATGTCGTTGATTCGCGTGGCCGGTTGGTTCAAGCACTTCGGTCGTGTCTCGAAGATGTTAGCATGGGACCAAACGATAGTTCAAAGGCCGGGGTCAACACAGGGAATATACTTGGCTGCTTGAATTACAAGATGATACAGCTCAAAGCTGTGTTAGTATCTGTCCTTGATACTCGATAGCCTAACCTAGTACAAGGTATTTTCGGCGTTCTCTCGGGTAACAATGAAGACGAGACAAGATCGGAGACACGAATTGGATTATATAGGCATCGGTTTTCTAAGGTTCTCATAAGAGCTGTTTGTTACGCTTAGTCGTCCGCTGCTTAGTCGTTATTCGACTCGCGGGGCCGGAAGGTTAGTCCTCACTCGAACTGGCTGCTGACCAGGGCTGGAGATGAGTAACTTGACGATCTTAGAATTTGCATTTGGATTCCATCCTGTCTAGACTCTAACATAGTAGGGCATCCAAACTTAAACGTTCTTTCATCAATTTTATAGCTATTAAATATATTTGAATTGCTTGGATTTTGATCTGTGCTCTAGGAGAACAAGTGGTCATTTATAGTTCATTTTTATAGATCGATGGGGGCAAAGCCTATCACGTGTAATCACGTGATCCACATATCAGCATTTGCTATAGGGAAACAGATCGCTATTACACTTCACAAGTTATGCCGCATAGTAGACTTGCATGTGGTGCATGTGTAGTGGCCGTCCGACCCAACGATACCATGGGATATTCACACAAGTCTACGACTGAATACAAACAAATTAATAAAGACTCCGAAGAACGCAGCGAAAGCACGAGCGAGACCAGAGGAGATTACTGGACATATATGATATGTCATTAAAAAGGGAACATGTTAGAATTACTGTGAATTATTACAGTCCAGAGGAGAGTGATACGTTGGCTTGCTCATAACCGAGAAAAGGAGTAGATAGTATGTATGTAGTAAGGTGTGGCTTTTAGAAAAGGATATGGTCAACTGTCGGGTTCATATAGTAGTTCATGACAGAAATTGTTGAGATCGGGACGAGACACATTAATTACCCTACCTACCAAGCCCTTCATATATTTGATCATGAAACAAACATTTTACAAAAATCCCAGTCCCGAACAAGTGATGAATAGATTGAGGCTGGTCAGCTATCTATGGAAACAAAACGAATCTACTGGCAACCAGCGGAGAACAGAGATCCAATAAAGTCATAGTTAAAGACCGACCATCCATCACCTTATCGAGGTATATTGTCAACCCCCAGTTACAGTCATCACGACATACTCATCGGATCCAGTACCAGGAGACGCGGAACGAACGCATCGCCCCTTGAGAGATTTCAAGAACACCAGCAAAAAATATGAAGTGGAGAGGGAAATAAAAGGCCCGGTGATAGATGCAGCAGAATCACACCAGAGAGGCCAAAGCCAACGCAGCAAAGGCTCAAACGCTGAGTTATCGAACACCGGCATCACTTTCCCGAAAGAGCATGAGCAAATACATTGAGGAAAGAAAAAAACAAGAAAATGGGTATTTTGTTCTCTCAAAAGGAATTGCGACATTGCTGTGTGATCTGGTTGGATAGAAAATGAAAAACGAAGATCACGAGCCCCTATACATCGACTTCACCAAGCTAGCGTAAATAATCATAAATGGTCATTGAGCAGTGGTAAATAGTGCGTAAATGTAAGCGAGGCGATAAAAATCCATCTCCAATATTTTTCGTCTATCTGAACTGACCGGGACCGACCATACCACCACGGACGTCGCCGCCGTTGGACTGGCCGAACATCTCCAGGAGGTGTCTAGACGAGGGGGGAGGGCCCTGTGGGCCAGGGTTTCCAGGTCCAAAGGGACCCTGAGCACCGGGACCAAGTCCCATCATGGCCTCAGGGTTTGGAGGCATGGGAGGGAAGCCTGGGGGAGGGCCATTCATATAACCCGGAGGTGGCATCATGCCTGGAGGTAGGCCGCGAGGAAATCCTTGACGCTCATTCATTGGAGGCGCGTTGCCGGGCATAGGAAGCATGCCAGGGGGGAAGTTGGGGTTCATGCCGCGGCCCGGAGTAGATATTCCAGGAGGGCCCATAGGGCTTGGTAAATTTCCCTGCTGCGGGACAGGCTGGCCGGCCCATCCAGGGGGTGGTAGATGCTCAAGACCCGGGGGTCGCTGGAGCGGCATGGGAGGCTGGTTCGCGCCTTGTGGAGGTCGCGAGCCACCCGGAGTCATGGGACCTTGATTACCCTGAGGGAACGGCATATCGTCAAAGAATCCCATAGGCGGACCATTTGCAGGTCGCCGGCGGAGATGCTCACTATCCGGTCGCTGCATGTTTGCAATTGCCGGGTCATCAAGGAAAGCCGGTGTCTTTTGGGCAGAAAGCCCCGGTGGAGGACGTGGCATGCCTTCTGGCATCAGACCTGGAGGAGGGGCAATACCCGGGTTGGGAGACTGCTGGGATAGATGACCTGCAGACGGTGGACCGACTCGAACTTGCTGCATCAAACGAAGCAAGTGGGCCCTCTCTAGCGCCTGGGGATCCTTGGGGCCAACTTGGGCCATGGGATTCTCGGGACCAGGGCCCATGTAATCGGATCGATGAAGGTGTTCCCTGGAGGGAGATGGCAGAGATAGGGCGGCATGTTGCTGCTCCGCGTGCATCATGGACATCGTCCGTTGCTGATGGGGCAAGCCCATATCGTGAGGCGTAGCATTCTCCGAACGTTGTCCGCCAAGCATCTGCAGAATACGTTGAAAGCCTTCTTGGTCCGCACTGTGGGATGGGAAAGGCATACTCTCAGGTGCTGGCTGGGGCTGTTGATAATGCTGGGGCTGGGGTAGCGGGGCACTAAAATAAGGCATCGGCTCGGGCTCTCTGGCAGGGCTCTCCGGCATGGGGCTAAAGAGACCTGCAAAACGAGATGATTTTCCAGGCTTTCCGGGAAAGGGGGAGGGTTCCTTCTTGGCAACTGGATCAACAGCCATAGGAGAACTGACTTCCGGAGTCTGAGGCTGAGCCTTCGAGTCGCCCAGGAGCCCGAAGAATCTTTCCATCGAATCATCGGACATGAACTGAGCACCGGAATTGCTGAAGATCTCACCATCGGTACGGCGGGTCTCCGCCTTCTGATATTCAACATGTGGCTCTTTCTTCTCCTCAGCATGTGCCGGGGGCTGTGCGGATGGCCCAGATCCAGCCTTCATACGCTCTTTCCAACGTTCAAAGTCCTCCTGGGTATGTGCTCGTCGTGGTTCATCTCGTTCATTGGCATCCATCCATTCAGGGTCTTGTTCAAATTTGGCGCCGCGGTTCCATTCACGCTCGGTGCCGTGTCGGGTCTGGTTTTGGCGCCATTCTCGGTTGCGCAACGGCGGTTTATCATCATCAGCAGCATCAGCGCCCTCCTGAGCCTGTTCATCCCGGAACCAGCTTCCTTCATATTTGGATCGTGGGGGCTGTCCTTCTTTCCGAGCGGGGAATCGGCCATCTTTGTTGTCACGGGGAACCCGTTCAGCGTTGGGATCGCGAGGTCCTTCCTTGTTTTCCCATCTGTCAAACTCGCCGTTTCGTCTAGGCTTACGCTCCTGCTCCTCCGGGCCGAATGTGCGACGTGGGCGCCCGGCATTCCAGTCTTCTCTCTCACCACGCCGGGCACTCAGTGGCCCTGGCTTGGCCTCCCGTCGATCTAACTCTTTATCCGGTGCATCACGGTCCTTGAATAACCTATCTCTGAAGTTGAATCGATCGTTCTTAGTCTCATCCGAATCATTCGGCCGCGCTGCTGGTCGGTCTGTCAGGTCGAGCGAGCCTTTACCACCAATGCGAGATGAGGCGAAGGCGGTTTTTGGGGGACCGAGTACAATGTCCTCTGGAAATATAATGAATCCACATTAGCAAGTGCGTTCATTGCAGATTGATCAAGATACTTGATGATTGACAGAAAGGGAGATAATAATACCAGAATTGGAACCCCGAGAGATATGTTTGGCCTCAAAAAAGCTAGGCCTTCTGTTCGTAGTACCAGTCTCAGCTGGATTGTTGGCATCACGGGTGTTGTGGGGTTTTCGTTGTGTGGTTGTCGGGTCAGGTTGAGGCCTAGAGGTTGCGGTCAGTCTTGACGTTAATAGTGCGGGACAGCCGAAGAATTGAGAGTATTGGAGCTAACATACATCCATTCTTCAATTGGAGGCAGGCCAGGAGGCTTTGCGACGAGGGGCGAGCCGCGGAGCCATATCAGCTCATCGATCTCGTACCGTCGCGCCATGGCGGCTCGGTCTGTGAGGTTGTGTGTGCGTGTGGTCTTCTTCACGGTAATGATTGGTTCATTGGTCGAAGGAGTAACAAAACTGGACAGAGGATTCAAATAGGGTATATGAAGATATGGGATGTTTCAAGCAGAATATGGTGAATAGGAAGCAGGCAGTGTTGGGTGGTTATGGAAAAGAGGTTGGATGAGGAGAAGCACACAAGCCACCTTGTGGCGATGGCGGTGACCAGTGTCTCTCTCGGGAGCCAACTTTCTACTCGCCAGTTGCTGTTCAACAATGCGACCAGTACATTTAGATCACATTTTATATTCACACCTAGACATTAATTTTGAGCATCAAACGTGATCTAAAAATGTGTGTCTTACATAAAATTAGATCCCTTTTCGTCTTTTCACCTAAAAACCATTGCAGAATAGTAAATGCGACCTATAACGGTGCGAGCGCTATCCAAGGAGCTCACTTCTTATCTTCGTGTCTCAGATATATATATTTCCTTCAGTCTTACCGGGTGTGATTTTGATGTTCTAAACGCAGCACCGTCATACAATAGCCCAAGCCACAGATAGTCACACTGCCCGCTATTTTCATGTGCAATAAGTAACTAGGTGCCATAAACCTATAAGACAAACGAACCCAGATAATGAAAGAAGTGTAGATGTAGCCTCCCCTCACTAGGACAATTTTCTGGTGCGAACTATACTTATAAATGTGTGAAAAAACCAATATTGAGTCGTAGGACACCCTCCATATTGCACAGACCGGAGCTGTATGTGTTAAGAAAGTACTACGAGGGATATGAAACGCGGTATAGGCGTTGGCGGTGACTGTTTTATTGCAACTCAAAGTAAAAATCTCTTAGGGCTCTAGGCGTGTGCCTTGAAGGTAGTAATAGATTACTGGATAGGACTAGCCTCCCCTTGAGGCAAAACTAGAATATTCGACGGGTAATAATGAATATCGGAGAAATTTATATTGATAAAATGGACATCGGTCTCAGTAGAGGGTATATGTGTGAGGAGTAGCATGATATGGTAGGGCCGAGAGCTGGATCTTGATAGGGGTCAATATATGTACCGGGGGAGTAAATCTCAAGACTGTTCATCCTTATATATCGGAAATAAATATATCACTTGGACGAACTTGTGATGTTAGAAACCTGACTACAATCTAAGACAGCACAAATCACATATAATCAGATCGCTCATCAGATTCATATTCAAGGATCACAAGTATCTTTAAATTTGATTAGATATAAAATTGATTATCAAACGTGATAGCAATCTGGAAAAGTGAGCCATTCAGACTTTACATATTGTATCTGAAAACCCATCCGAAAAGACTTCTGGAAATGGTGTTTGCTGGTAGACCTTTGCGGCTTTGATAAGGACATCATCAAGGATTCTTCCCATCACTGACCTGGACAGCCCTAGAGATAGGAGGTCATCTTATGCCTCGCCAGTGACACCAAATATTTCTCAGCTATCGTGCTCCTTCTGCTGCTCCAAGAAGTCCACAACTTGATACTGGAATCAAACACAAAGTCAGAATGAGCGAGAACACGAGCCGCATTTTACGCCAAGTTCGATTAGGAAAATTTAGAGAAAATTTAGAGATTCAGATGAAGAGAAGAAACCAGTCATGCGTAAGGAGCTGGTAAGTTTTGCTATATCGCATGTAAAGAACAGTATGCGAAAACTGGGTACTAGTCTGCTTTTATGAAGTGTTCGCTGATGAGAGCAAGCTGCCAGTTCTGTTGGTCTATAGGGCAATATATTTTTTTCGCCGCCCTCCTTTTATTTTTTATTTTATGATGTTTATTCTTTTTTATTTTCGAACATATATTCTGAGCTCTGTATAGATCTCTGCAGTTCAACATATAACTATACACACTGGGCTCTTTTGTGCGCAACATCGTGTAAAATATCTGGTCAATCCATAGCGATATTCAAATCCTGCTCATTACTCTTCATATAAGTCAAGACATGACTAGCCAGCTATTTGTGCAGCTTGGGCTTTTTCAGTTCCTTTATATCTTCATAAAAATCTTCAAGGGCTCCTTTACTCATGGCGATATCCCTCGTGAATTGACCGGTAAGCTCTATCTATCCCAATATAAGCGAGGAATATCTTAAACTTCAGTAGCAGTCGAGAACTAAACGGTACACCTGGCAATTGCCATTAACAAATAGAACGATTTTGATGAAGATAAGTGTATACTGATGGGTTCAATTGTCCTATTTACTGTAGCTCTTTTTAGATCGCTCATAGAGCGTGGACTTCATTTTATAGTTAAGTAACTTCTTCATCACCACCAATGCATTTACATGGGTAATATAATTTCCTCTTATACAAATCCTAATACATACGACCATAGGGTGTGGAAAACAGGGCTTCCCGTCCGCTCAGCCGTACTTAAGCCACACGCCGGTGAGTTAGTAGTTGGGTGGGTGACCACCAGCGAATCCTCACTGTTGTATGTTTTTGTTTTTGTATATTTATTAGATACTAGATAGAGTATGTTTGGATAGGAAGGGACCACAACGTGGCCATGACACTCGGAAGCAAGGTTGCTACAAGGGGAAATTGATATAGTATACCTATTTCCAACTCGTGTGGTCAACTATTGCGCCTCCTACCACTGATTGAATGCTGGCACATAATCATTTCGGTGCGTGTGAAGCCTTATTTCTACAATCATATGTACATGATTCGCTATTGAAAGGAAGATGATACATAATCAGTTGGCTAATTACTGAGAAATGCAAGAGTGTGAAAAACTGGGATCTAATCTTCATTTCGAGACCTATTATACCTCAATCAAACTTCTTCGGTTCCACAATATACTGCCCCTGGCCCGTGACATCTTCCTCCGGACCGTTCCTGGCAGAGAGATGCTGGGTAACGCCAATATAAGTCTTGCGGCCGTATGCGAACCATGCGATTGTAGGAAGAAACACAGATCCAAAGACCAAGACGGCCGGAGCGTAGTTAGCATTGAGGGCTGTTGCAGGCATCATGGTCGGCAAACACATGAACACGACCAGGAATACGCACAAAACCAGCGAAATAATGGCTAATGGTTTGCTGAAGCGCCCCAGAGTGAAAGGTCCTTTCTTCAGGTGGCTTTGCTCCATTCCCCAAATAACCCTAACTCCAAGAGGAAAGCAGTAGCCCACAATATAAACCACAGCACCACTAGATGCAAAACAATAGTAGGCCGTCTCATTGCCGATGTATATCAGGGGGATAGTGGCCATCAAGCCATACGAAACGAGAATGGCATAGATCGGCACATTCCATGTCGCATTAACCTTGGCGAAAATTGGAGGAAATGCACCCTCTCTTGCGAGGGAGTAGATAATTCGAGAGGTTGCCGAGATACATCCCGGTCCAGCGATGGTGAATCCCATCACAGGAACAAATACTGTCATTCCCACGGTTGCTGAAAAGCTTCCCCCTGATACGTTGTACATCAATTGGACCAGCGGGCTTAATCTGGCAACGGGGCCCCCGAGGAAAGCCGTGATATCAGGGATGCAGAACATCAACGCAATGACCCATGGGAATGTAACAACGCCAGTCACTAACACTGTGATCCACACTGCAGGCATTGTTAGTTACTGGTGTTTTATAACCTCCTTCACTGCGCGCTTACTTGTCTTCGGGAGATCACGGGCGGCATTCTTCATTTCCTCGGCCATATGTGTCGAGCTATCCCATCCAACGACGGCGGCAGCAGGGGCAAGAAGTCCGATGCACCATGCAACCTTTCTCATATGATGCATGTTAGCACGTGTTATTTGGGGGAGGGAGTATCATTAGGAGCTTACGCCATCGCTCTCCCATCCAGTGAGGTTGGAATGGTTGGTAAAGACATATGTTGCGGAGGATCTGGGATTGGTGTGGACAAGCAGGTAAATTATAATTGCGAGGAATCCGACAGTATGGGCGGCCATAGCAATAAAAGAAGTGTGGTGAAGGTATTTTATACCAAAGATGGACGCGAATAAGTAGAGGGTCATCAATATGAGCATAGTCTGTGCTTTGTGTTAGGAATAGTTTGGGAAGAGAGAGAACATTTTCAGGCTAGTACTCACCACAGCAGTGTGCCATCGTTCATATACATAGCCCTCGCGGAATAGAATCATATAGGATGATATTTGCATGCAAGTAGCAAAGTTTCCTGCAACACTTGACAAAACCCAAGCCCAAGTCGTGATCCATCCGGCGTACCAGGAAAATATTCTCCGAAATCGCGGTGGCGACATATATGCAACGTAGTGATACTGGCCTCCGGCGGTGGGGATCATGCTTGCATATTCGCTGATACAGAGAGAGATAATCAAAGCACCAATGGACATGAGAAGGTAGCCATATACCATGCTAGAGCTACCACCTGATGTCAGAGCTTGAGCCGAAGAGGCCGTAAATGCTTCCCAGACTCCATTGTTGCAAAAACACATGAAGGCCAAAGACCAGGCATTGAAGTTACGTTTCAACTCCTGCTTCTCAACACCCAACCTGGCAAGATCAGCTGCATCCTCATCGAAGTCGGATGGAAGCGGCTTCCGAGTTTCATCCAGAGACATGCTTGGAAGATGGAGAATAAGCGTGCTAATGTCAGGCTGGAGGGAATTGGTAATAATTCTGGCTGGACCATCTATGCTTTCTTTATATATCTGTCTTTCCAACGTGATGCTTTCCCCATACTCCAGGGGGCTCCACAACCTCTTACAACATAGCAACTAAACTCGGGCCTGTTATGATAGCCGTATATTGATAGAGTAGATTTGCTTTTTCTAGCCTATTATACCCCTAGCATGCGGGAAAAGATCTCAATGGCCACAGTGAGACGTGAAGGGCGGGGTAGGCTGAACGATCCAATCTCCGCGATATCCGGAATCATCTAGTGAGAAGGCGTTTTCCACACAAAAATATATAATATCAGGGGACAATCTAAGCGGCATGGTTGGTCTCCGTAAGCCTTAATTTGCCAAATCCGGTAGAGATTGGCGAAAAGGCGATAGGTGCCAAGTCCGGGGAATATACATACGTAGTCCGGGGAAAACGATCCATGCATGTGCCAATTGCTTAATTATCCGGTTATCATGAGCTCAGCTCCGTTACTTGTCGAAGAGCTTGGCTCCATATCTCGGTGCTGGAGGGTAAATGAATTATCTATATACCAGGTCCCAACTTATCGCAAGCCCCTAAACTGTGTCTTCTATTCCCGCTAGTCCCAGTTCGCCTCCAAGATTAAACCCAACGATCCCATTTTGGCTTATTCAGCGGCCCAACTTCTAATAAAATCCGACAAGATGCACGTCATAGTGGTTGGTGCAGGCTTTGGTGGACTGGCCTGTGCAGTTACCTGTGCCCAGCAAGGGTTAAAGGTCACTTTGCTCGACCAAGTACCGGAGTTCCTACCAGTGGGGGAATTGATTGGCCTCGGCTCAAATGTGGCCCAGATCTTCAAGCTCTGGGGCATTTTACCTGCCATGAAGGCAATCCGCCAGGATGCACCGTTTATGACATTGCACAACTACGATGGGAAAGTCCTCGCGGTGGACAACACCCTTGGCGAGGCGGAAGAAAAATTCGGTGCGCCCAACCTCAGCGTGTTTCGAGGGGAAATGCACGCCATTCTTGTGGAATACGGTAAAAGCTTGGGTATCATATTCAGGAACGGCTGTAAAGTTGTTGATTATGATGCTAATAAGCCAAGTGTTATCCTGGCTTCCGGGGAGGAGGTTGAGGGCGACGCCGTCATTGCATCGGATGGAATCAAAAGTATCGCCCGGGGCAAGGTGTTAGGGGATTATGAAGAGCCCCTTGATACTGGATATACTGCACTCCGAGCATATGGTGATGCAAGTTTGATAGCCGCTGATCCAATCGCGAAACATCTTGTCGAAAACGGTAAGTCTTGTCGGTTATTTCTTTCGGTCAGCATGCTGACTATGACTCACAGGAGACTCTGTGTCTTTATGGGTTGGCCCTGATCTTCATGGCATTGCTCTTGCACTCCGCGGTGGCAAGGAGCTGTTCACGACTATAACCTACAAGCGGACGCCAGGTCAGCCCGAGATAGAAAGCTCGGCGCAGGTTTTGGAGCTTATCAAAGACTGGGATGTGGTCTTCAAGCGAACGTGGGAGCTCTTGCCTGACGAGCTCAATATTTGGCCCCTGGTCTACCGGAATTGCTCTGAAAAATGGGTATCGGATTCGGGCCTGATTGCTTTGATCGGAGACGCTGTACATCCTTTCCTGCCTTCTTCGATGCAGGGCGCCGGCCAGGCAATGGAGGATGGTGCAGTACTCGGTCTTTGTCTTGCTAAGGCTGGTAAGGGGTCTGTGCCTCTGGCATTGAACACATTCTTCCGACTCAGACACGATCATGTTGTGGAAGTTCAAGAAATGGGTATCGAGCAACGGGAATACTGGCATAATAACCACGACGAGTCGGGAGAAATGGTCAAAAAACCCGATGATACTCATGGTGCTGTGAAAACCCAGAAGTTCTGGTCGTACGATTGTGTGAAGGTTGTTGAGGAAAGCTGGGAGACTGTCTCAGCCCAAGTGGCTGCAGAATTGGGGCTCTAAAAGCCAAATATATGAACCGGTGTCCTGGGTGTTGTTTTGTGGGATATAGAATGTTAGAAAAAGCAGAATATTGAATAGCAAGTCTCATGGTGCCTACAACTTTCCTACAACCCTTTCACCTTCCTTATATTACCTAGTTAGGGTGGATAGCCACATTATCAAGGGGATATGTTGATAATTCTGAGAGCCATGAAGGCTACCAGAAACTCCAGCATCCCCATCTAGCAGGGAACCACGGCGAATAGACCCTCCACAAAGGAGCTTTTATTGATAAAGAGGCTGTTGTATCTCATAAATATGTCGCCAATGTGAACTGAACTGGTAGTGGGGGGCGGAGTGATGAGCAAAAATGGAAGGCGAGTCGAGGGTTCCTCGGTGGAATTCAACATGACTCTGATTCAAACAAGAGCAGCTGAATCCTGGAGTGCAGAACGTGTGGAGCGGGGAGCGTGGTCACTTCAGGAAGTTTAAGAGCGGTTAAGAGGATGATGGCCTATCCTGCCGCTGGAGATTTCTAGTTAGTCATTGGGAGGTGCTGGGAGTCTGGCTAGTTGACTATGAAAAGAGGCGCCAGTGGGGCGCGGGAAGTTCAGAGAGCTACGAAGAGCCCATTTCTGATCGAAAGGTGCGTGCAGAAATGGCCACGCAGAATCGCATAGTAGAATGCGAGAAATGAGAGAATCAAGAGCTGTGAGAGAGAATAAAAGATAGGATATTGAAGAAACTATCTGTAAGACAGGGAACTGGGCATGTAACCCCAGTATTTTAAGCAAATCAAGAACTCAGAGTTTTGTTCTCAAGTTCCACCCACCCCGAAGAATCCTCAAACTTGTCCAGCATAGCAAAGCTAGGCCATACGATAGTCCAGCAAGGATTATCAATGGCCTGTACGATGCATTTGGTAGCTGAAGAAGCAGACCACCTACAGGAATACCGATAAGAGACCTGAGGTGAGCAGTAAATTAGCAAAAGTAACAAAATTTCAATTAGAGATCCAGTCATACCCAATGCTAGAAAATGCAAACAATGTCCCAGAAACCTTTCCATAGTTTTCTGTCTTGCACAGTCGGGACATACAGACAGGTGCTAGGCTTATTGATGACCCACTGCAGAAACCAAACAGGATGACAAATAACCAAAGGAAATTAGGATTGGCCTCTGCAGGAAGCCAAATACCAAGGATTGAGGTAGTGGATAAACCGAAAATGATTATTTGCGTGTTAAACCATCCAATATGATCACCAATAAACCCAGCCATACAGCGGCCTAGCAATGAACCACAACTCATGGAAGTGATAAGATAATAGGCAATTGATAGTGACATATCCTGCTTCAAGGCGTACGAAGTAACATATGTCATTGGGATGAACATGCCGAGTTCTCCGAAAAGAAGTCCGAGAGCCATGAGAAAGGGCTGAAGGTCAAGTAAGAGTCGAAGACTAGGCATGGCTTTCCAACCATCCGCTCTCAGACTTTGGCGACGCTTGGCGCTCAGAGCCGGAGTTTTCATGAGAACGACAGCAGCAATTTCAAATGGCAGAAGAACGACTGATACTGCCAGGGTCATCTTCTGAAAGCCGATCTTCGGCAATATCGAGCTGATTATAAGGGGTAGAACAATTCCGCTAGCACTTCCACCGGATATCGCAAGCCCCATGGCAAACCCACGTCTATGGAAGAACCAGTGCTGGATAGTACCAATGGCGCAAGTGAAAAGAACACAGGTACCTATACCTCCGAGGATACTGATGCAGAAGAAAAACTGCCAGTAAGTCTTGCAAAAGCCTAGAAGGATATATTGGGCCAGTAGAAAGACAGGCCCAACAGCAGACAGTGGGCGAGGGCCGTAAGAATCAAAAATTGGCCCAATGAAGAGGCTTGCCACAAATGTTAGAAAATTATAGAAGCCAAAGATCCATCCAATATTTCCCGCTCCTTCGGCCTGTAACTGATGCGAAGCTATCCAGGAATGGTATACACTGATTGAATTCATGAAGGACAGGGCAGAAAAGAAGGCACAGAAACAACCAAAGACCACAAGCCACGCTTTCAGCCCACCATCGGGATAAGATTCGTATTCCGACACATCTTCAGAGCAAGCTGCCCCAATCTGGGATTCAGGTGATTGAGGAAGGAGAGTATCGCTTAGTGATTGAGAGTCTATTGTTCCATAGCCATGAGTTTTTTTTCCATGGTGTTGACTGTCTTCCATTCCTGTTCTCTGAGGGTCGCAAAAATAGGTCAAGATAACTGGTAATCTTTCCGTGGTATATATCCAAAATTCTTTAGTCTTTTCAAAGTTAGACCATAGTCACATGATGGACCTGTATTTTCGTCAATCACACGGGAAAAAAAAAATTCATCATGCCATTTGATTGCGAAAAGAATTTTGAATTGAGGGTTGATATTTATCCTATCACGAATTATTCCGTTGGATGGATCTGAGGGCGGAACAGCAGTGATATCGCGGAATCGCCCCGCATCAGATAGAAGAATTATCTCAATAGTTTCAGGATAGATAACTGTTTCACATTTAAAGATATGAACAACGAAAGAATCGGATAGATTTACAATATTTTTTTTGTGTGTTCTCTCTTCCTCTTCGCTACATGGTTTTCCCTTAGGAAATTGCCATCGTCCACCATGTCCTCAGACAATCTTCGCATTATTGTTGTCGGCGGCGGCTTCTGTGGCCTCACGGCGGCCATTGAATGCAAACTTCGTGGTATGCATTCTATTCTTGTCGAGGCATACTCCGGTGCAAGCTCTCATGGCGACCTCCTCGATTTCACCCCAAACGGCGGCAACGTGTTTGAGTCTTGGGCAAACGGACGGATCGGTGCTGCTCTCAATGCCTCTGGAGTGAATGCGGCAAAGTCCTTGGATTATTATAACTCCCAGAATGAGTACCTGCGTTCAGGCCCCTGGCCTCAGACAAAGTTCTCCAAGGGTGTCTTCGCGGGACACCGTGGAGCTATGCACGAGATTATTTACAACTATGCGATTGAAATTGGTGTCGAAATGCAGTTTAATAAGCGTGTTGTATCCTATTTGGATACAGACCAGGAGCGTGGAGTAGTCCTCGCAGACGGCTCAAAGATTCTAGGAGATGTGGTCCTGGCCTGCGATGGGCCTAAATCGCTGGCTCGTGAGCAACTCTTGAACTTGCCGGAGAGTCGTGTCAACAGTGGCTATGCCATTTTCCGTGCTTTCTTTGAGATCTCGGATGAAATACGCCAGAACCCTCACCTCAAGGAACTTGTGGACCCGGAGGAGGATAAGACACGCTTTTGGGTTGGACGTGATTTGCATGGATTTATCTACACCTGGAATAAGGGACGGTATGTCACATTTCTTTCTAGCTGATCACCTCTTGTCATAAAACATAAGGCGGTTTTCTTTTTCGGACTCAGCTAATTGGAACCATTATTAGCGATTGTGCTTGGGTCCTTACCCATTTGGATGATGCAGATATTGGGGAATCCTGGTCGTTGCCTGGCAATAAGGAAGACGTGGCCAAGTATTTGGAAAAAGCAGGATTCCCTACGACCTGGAGCGAGCTCCTTAAAGTCACTCCAGCGAGCCGCTTGACAGATTATAAGCTGGTGTGGCGTGATGCTATCGATACCTGGCTGTCACCTTCCAACTTCAGGTCAAGGTGCTTGCCAAGCTGTTGAGGATGCTGTGACTGTTGCAATCTGTTTGCAGAAGTCTGGAGGAGATGTTGAACTTGCATTGCAGGTCTTTGAACGAATTCGGTTCAACCGATCCCACGTGATTCACCAGGGATCAATTTCTACTCGCGACATCTACCACAAAAATGACTGGACAGTGGATTTTGTTCGCGAACACCCGAACTCTCTGATTATGCCTTTCTTTTCATGGATCGTCTGCCATGATGCTATCAAGAATGCCGAGGATAACTTCGATCATTTGGCAGCGGACGTCAAATGCGGCAAGCAAGGAACTATTCAGGAGCTGGCCTTACCGGCGGGTAGCAATTATGATGCTATGAGCATTGAAAATGCTGGGTCTGCCGAGGATGGATTAGTGGGATTGGGGGCTATTGGTTCGGTCTGAGGCTAGCTATGCCCTAATTTAGGATGGCTATATATATCTATATCACAAGAAAAGAAATTGAAGCACAAATGGACTTTATTCGCACGATACAAGTTAGGTATTATAATTCCACCTACGTATGTAATAAGATAAATAATCCTAGGTACAGTCAGTGGACACAAATAATCCCCCCCCCCCCCCCCCCCCCCCCCACCTCCCCAACAACCTTGGAATACTCCGTAGATCTCGACTATACCAAAAATGACTGTGTGCATACATTCAAGCATCTCATTACTTATCCCGCAGACTAATAACAGCCAAATCATCTTTTGTACATATGAAACCCAACTTTTGATTTATTAAACCGTTGTCTAGCTCTCCAATCATTGCTCTTACCCCGCAAATCCGTCCAAGCAGAACAGATTCTCCAATGAAAAATTAATCCGTCTATTCTCTTCCCACACTTGTAAAGTAGATCATTAGTTCTTCCATAAAGTGAGATCTTATTGTATTTCCCTTGGATCCGGAGAACTGACGGATGTAGGTCGCATTGGCTGAAAGGTGGAGCTTATAAATCGAGCTCACAAAAGTCATTGGTGCACATTCAACGTTGTGAAAACAGGGATATTTGCGGAATAGCATCAATAATCTGCCTACTCTGATCTAGCGCTGGCGTGACACGCACAGTCTGATAAATAGAGCTGGTGATATGATGTTACGACTTCGGGCTATATAAGTAGCCCCATCTTCCATTCTACCTAGCTAGGAAGACCACATCAATTGAATCACTTTTTCTATCCCATATTTACTCGTTGTATTCTTTTCAAAATGGTTTTCGAGCACCTCAGCGAAGGGAAATTCTTCAAGATTCCGAAGATTCCGTTTAATGACCACGTCCTCTACGGTGCGAACCCATCCTGGTAAAATACCGCTTCAGCTCACATCTAATCTGGACCTATACGTAGATGACGTTTACACCTCAAAGGAAGGCACTAGTCCCGAAAACTCACTCACTGGATCTTTCTTTTTCATTGAAAAGACTGATGTCCCCGAGGGAAAACTTCCTGCGTATATTGCAGATGAAACCGGCATTGTCGTGCGAGGTCAGGCCATATCCACAATTTAATTCAATACCCATTAATATGGCTCAAAATTAATTTTGATCTAGGAACTGTGAATCTGGAGGATGAGACGGGTAAGAAGGTCACCTTGAAAGCTGGTGACACTTTCTTCATTCACCGAGGCTCCCAAGTTGCTTGGAGTAGTGATGACTATGCCGTATGCTTTAAGGCTGGTAACAGAGCGAAGTTTGATATGTAAGTAATGTTCAAAGTTTGGATCATGAGTAGTTCCTAGGATATGACTGATGAATCATGGCAGGAATGAGGACCCCCACAAGAATTAAACGCTGGTTTTACAGAGTGATGAGCACAGCGACCTGATACACCTTCTTCCCTTGGAATAGTTATAGTTTACAACAATATATCTTCAGCCGAATCTTTTTTATCGGCATATCCTTGATTCTCGAAGAAGCATGGAGTATGAAATCTAAAAAGAAAGCGTGGTTTTATCTCAAATATAACCTCTTCAATATCAGCTCGAACCAATTAGATATTCGAATGATCCAAGCGTTGCATCTTTAAATACAATGGCCGAATAAGCAACGATACTCTGGAAAAGGCTCTGTGTTGCATGAAAAGAAGAAGAAACTATCTACTGGCCATTGGAAATAGGTGCGCGGGAGAAAACGGAGGAGTCACAGTACCATTGACCAGCGGGGAAGAGACATCAAATGAAGGGCATCGTATGAAGGATTGTGATGGCTGAGGGTCTGAGGGACGATCTCGAGGTCGGAATTGGAGAGCAGATACTCTAGTTTCAAAGAAGCCATCGAAGTTATTTTGATCGTTCAAAGAAAGCTCAAAACCTCAGCCCAAGGAAATCACAACCCTAATTAGATTTCCTCTTTATGTTTTTGTCCCATCTCACAATACAAATGCAAAGTAAAAGTTCATCGCATCTCCGTAGGGACGGCTGCTACATAAACCAGTTCCGCGTTTAAACGTTGTGCTTGGATTATCGCGAGACAGAAAATCTTAGGTGGATGAGGCACCTTCCAAGGTTGCTTCTACGGGTCTGTATCGTGAGTGCCGTGGCCACATCAACCATGTCTCTCCAATACAGGCTGTACCTCAGCATAGACGAAGCTCAATTTATTAGAAACTAAAACATAGGTTTCCCTCCAAGGGATAAAGCTCCAGGGTATTATAACCTTTTATCTCCGCGATACATCATCAATTGCAGTGGTAACTCAACGGTAGAGTGTGAGATTTGGGGACAACGGCTAGATCACTGATTACGCTCTAGCAAGGCTGTGCATAGGTGCTAAGAGATAAATATTCCAGAGTTGCAGGCATACCCAACGATATATCACTGTAGTATAGCGGCCTGAGCTGCCAATGCGCTGACAGAGGATTATGGCCCCTCCCACGTACCCCACGTGCGGAACTATACAGAGCGGACACTTTCACAACCTCGAAGCTATGAATAAGTGACTTTGATTGAGTGTATGAGTTGCTGGATATAGGCTTCCACCCCATATTATTTTCAAGGATAAAATCTTGAATTTGGTGAGCATAGGCGGAAGGTCTCCTGCGTGATTAGATCGTTAATATTAGTCCATCCATGGCCCCAGGGCTAAACGAGATGTGTATTCCGAATATATCGCTCTCGAAAGGCAGTGATTGCCTTCTCGTGCTCGACAGACACAGTAGCCATATAACACCAAAATTCGACGGATTGTGCAGCGAATAACATTATTTCAATCTACATGCTTCCACATTTTTCAAATATAGTGAGTGATCCCATCCCCATTGATCGTTTGCAAATGGAGCAGTTGTTTGATAGCCTATCATGGTATAAATCTCCAGCTCCTATATACATAAATTGGATATTAGAGAGATATTCCTTCGGATAACCCGTGGATGTACTTCCCGAGCTGCGCAGTCTAGCTCCTTTGGGGAGTTTTAGAAAATTGAATAAATGAATGACTCTGAGATCTATCTATTTCTAGACCTTAACGATGTAACTCTCGATACCGTGATAATGCAGGGTTTCGATTTACTCAAAACTGATATACAGTACTGAGAAAGCCTATCGAAAGCTATCGGCTCACAATAAAATAAATAAAGTCGTCGTTGTTGAGATATCAAGTTGTAATTTAGTGCATTTACTATGTGTTCTGGACTGCGCAGCTCGGGAAATACATCCACGGGTTATCCGTTTTATTATATAAGCGGACATCACATCCATTGGATTGCAAACTTTGCAAACCTCCAGGGCTGCACATGTGCCCAAGTTGTGTACATAAGGTACGTATCACCTGACCTGGTTCAACTTCCACGTGCTTTCGGCCGAACCGGCATTGTCTCGGATTACCCGGGTCCGGCTCAGCATATCTATAGATACGATCGGCAAGTGGCATTATTCCCTTCCTTTTAAAAAGTCTATGCTTTGTCATACATCTATCTTTTTGCTCTTCTTTTTTCCCCCTTTGTTTTTCACACATCTCTTCCCATAGTCCTCTGGAGCATTTCCCCAAGATTCAATCACTTGAGCATATCACTGCTTACTCCTTTCAGGCATGACTGTAGAGCTGTTGACAGAACCCCTCCAGGCAAACTATATACATAGCCTACAACAGGTAACCCCACAGATTTTGTGGATTGGGTGCTGTGATAGTAATTCCAAGGAATCCACTATGCTTGATATTCTCGACGACGAGTTGCTTGTGCTCCGAAACCTTGGCAATATGATCATTGATGGCGACCTATCCTGCGAGATTACTATAAAATATGCAGTCGTTGGCCTTCAGGTCTGCCCTTGATCCTTGATCCTCAATCTATTGGTAAGTTACCTGTCTTACTTTTTTTAGGTAAAACATATCGTCGTTTGCGGCCATTATGGATGTCACACTGTAAAAGCAGTTTCGAGAGATGGATTAAATGGTCCATGGTTGAGGTAAGTCCCCCCTGGCTTAAGCCCTTGAACTTCCCCGAAGTTACTAATGGTTATATAGCAAACTCAACGCTCTTCATTCAGCGTACGAAGAAGATATTAATCAACTGCCATTGTGCGAGCGAGATCGCTCTTTTGTTGAATTGAATATTCTTGACCAGATGCGTTCGCTTCGCAAATATCCCGAAGTGACTGATGCAATCACGCAAGGGCGCTTATATATCCATGGACTAGTGTATGACTCCCAGACCGAGAAGATCTCTCGATTGTTGGGGCAGCAGAACCACTAGAACAGGCATTGAGGTATCAATTTATTCCATGCTTTCTTTTCTTTCCCATTTTTGACTTCACTATACGGAGATTTTATCAATTCCGCATGGGCTAATTTGGTGTTATATATATATTTACTATGTGGTGCACATGATGTCTACTGCCTGCAAGGAAAAAGAAAAAGCAAAAATGTTTGATAAAAAGGGAAAAAAAACCCCCAACACAGCCGGAGCAACAAAAAAACTGCACATCTGAGCCGTGACTGGCATTTGACAACTATGGTCTTGATCACTCAATGTTCAGAATTGGCACCAGACGACAGACAATATATCTTCTTCACATCCTCCAACTCAGCCTCGAAATCGATCTTGAGGTCTTTCAGTAGGCCATCGCCGAGATCGAAAACCCATCCATGAACAATGGGATAATGGTTATCCTCATAGCTTTGCTGGACAGCCGCAGTCTTGATGACATTCCTACAGGATTCCATCACGTTGAGTTCAATCAAACGATTGTATCTCGCGTGCTCATCGGGGATTTCGTCAAGTTCCTTCTCATGCAAGCGATACACATCGCGAATGTTTCGGAGCCATGGGTTGAGTAGACCCAAGTCAGCAGGAGTCAATGCCGCCTTGACTCCCCCACAATTGTAGTGGCCGCAGACAATGATATGCTTGACCTTCAAGTGGCGCACAGCATAGTTGATCACGGACATGACGTTGAGGTCGACATTGGGCACTAGGTTGGCGATATTACGGTGGACAAAGACCTCGCCAGCCTCCAGACCCATGATTTCGTTGGCGGGGACACGGCTATCGCTACAGCCTATGTACCTGTTCCCGGTATGAATATTTTTGACGAGAATGAGGCCACAGTGGTGTTACTTACAGATAGTCGGGCGATTGACCAGCAGAAAGCTTCTCAAAAAAGGAGGCATCTGTCTCTTTCTTCGACGAGACCCATTTCTTGTTGTTTTGGAATATATGGTCGAGCGACTGTTTGAGATATTGATGCATTTCGGTTTTGGAGGCCATTTTGTCACGTTGTACAAAGACTTGGCGAAATTGACTAGCGATTCGAGGGTTTGGTAGTCTCATGAGAAGGCAGAGTAAGCAGATATTCCGAATTCGTTGGGATCTGACAGGAGATCCACCGGTCGAGGGGTTGGGTTTATGTAAGCACGTGCCAAGACCAAGGTAACTACGGAGTATGCAGGTCTAATGCGAACATTGGAAGTGATATCCCTGCAGGTTTCTTATCTTACTTATTCTACCAGATGATTATCTACCTACTCTTGAGATTTTGCCATTTGGTGATACTGACTATAATTTCCTAATTGTCTTTCAAGGAAGTTTTGTGCGACCCCACGAAAGCCGACAAGGGCGGTACCAGCAGTAGCTAAAAGTGATGTCCGCACCACTAACAGCACAATCTAGGCTCTATGTTCTATGGATATGACCCCCTCAGGACCTCAATCTCACCATAATTGCATCGGCCTCGTCTACCCCGACACATCGAGCGGTATCATTGCCACTTAAGCTTCCACTGACTACTCATGGTTGTCCAGTTGCATGGTGTCCTCCTTCATTAAGCACATTATACACCGTGACTACCCCATTGAACATCCAAAAGCCAGCATCATACTGTTACCGCCATTGAAGCCTGTCACAGTCGCGAACCCGGTCCCCCCCACCCTTCCATCTCGCGCCGCCCAGGCACCGGCCTGCCAGCAGATCGCACACCTCGACCACCATACCAGAGAGGCGGACAATCAGGCGGCAGTTTGGTGAAATGGTAAGCAGGAACAGACCGGCGCCAGGACGCGCAGATCAGAGGTCGTAGCTCTTCTCGAGCGGGCCCGAGCCCGAGTGTGCTAGAGCATAACGAGCCGAACCCACAAATATGCCACGCGGCCACCGTCCGAGGAGATCTGTAGAATAATGGTCGGGTAGTGGTGGGAAGATGGCACGCAGAAGGTCTTAAACATGTTCCCTATGCTTGTAGGGGATGTGCGCCCTGGAGACTAACAATACGGGAGTCAGCTGATATAGGACCAATATATAATCAGCCAAGTATCGTGATCTAATCGTGAGGGGTTCGTTATATAACGGCTACGTTAGTCGATCAGATAGTTTATCCTATAGTCTAGGATCCCCCAAGATCCCACTTACTCCTGTAAGAATTAGTCGTAAGATAGTTCTATATAATCCATTGTATTCGCCTCCTCTCACACAGTCTTTGTATCTTACCCGGTTGATAGGCTTTACACCTGAGACCAGTATACCTTTACACCGTGGGAGTTAGTAAGGTCTATATATGCTGAAGGTGGTGATGCTTCTATCGCCCTAATATCTAGTGTGTATGAAGATACCGTGGCTAACTATAACAGACGCTAGTGTGCGGTTTTATGTGTATATAGTTATCCACATGATATATATATATATAGTTATTAAAGACAACTTTCAGCCATTAAGCAAAAACAATTGAGGTTTAGGGCTTTCAGGTAACTTGTTGCATTAAGAAACTATGAGCATTTCCAAATTCATGGATATAATATAAAATCACGCAATTAACTAGCTTCTTACCTAGTTTATACCCGCTCTTTTCAACACCCAAATATCTCAGTCGGTACCTATTTACTACCCAATTATTTACAGTATATCTTTTTTTCCCGTGCATCTTTAAGAACATACGACCATAGGGTGTGGAAAACAGGGCTTCCCGTCCGCTCAGCCGTACTTAAGCCACACGCCGGTGAGTTAGTAGTTGGGTGGGTGACCACCAGCGAATCCTCACTGTTGTATGTTTTTGAATTTTAGATTCGTCGAGAATCCCCTTGCCGCCCTACTTCAGTCCCTTCCGTTCACCGGAATACTGAACACCACTCTTTTACACCTGAAGGAGGCCTTCCGACCTCGAGACCATGCCTCCCCAACATCATAGATGAAAGCTGCGGCTTAAGTCCGCTGTAAAATGTAGTGATCTAGCTCCGAATTGCCGAGGGTGGAGGACGTTAATAGCAACCTAAGCCATTCTTCGGGCTATAATCGTAGTCCCCGCGATTTAGGCTTGATATCGCGCTGTGATTCTATTCCTTTGAGTCGCCGACTCAGAGTTGCATGAAGTAGATATTTGCGGTAGCTTAGACTTAATGTTGGTGATCGCGTTGCGGCGATTTGGTGTCTCACCCGGTTATCACGCACGTTATTTGATCACTAATTGACAAATATTCATTTCCCCTTTATGTAGGATGCCTATAATAGTATACTGCATCTAGTCCTCTGTCTTATAATAGAAGCTGGCTTTTTGTTTGGGCATCATTGCAATTTCAAGCCGGTATACTAGTAATGAGATAGTAGTTGGCGTTGGACCACGCACGTCCTTCGCTGTACACTAACCTAGTTAGCGCTATTTGCCTCATTCAATTCACATGAGTGTGCTCCGTAGGTTTCTTTCATGACTTTTGGCAAGTCACAAATAAATAAAGAATCAATATCTCCTCATTTAACAATCTTCAACTCACATAATCATGCTTACCCGTTTTAAAAACCCATTCACTCCCTCCACCACTCCTTCTGCACTCCTTATCATTGGCAAGGTTGGGGCCACAATCCATGTTCTTTATCTGCTACCCGAGAACGACACCATCGAACGCTTCAGCCTCATAACCCCTACTTCTACCACCACCTTCCGACACGGCGGAGCCACAGAGCAGGCGCGCGAGCAGATCGGCGCGGTCACACTTCACATTGCAGATGGCGAGACTGCCGACAGCTTCCCCGACGACGTTGAGGCACGAATCCGTAAGCTACGGAATGATTCCCTAAGCTCGAGCCCGGCACAGCTACAGATAGGTAGTGTTGAGGTAACTCAGCTAGTGCAAAACTTCCTTCAGCCCGCGGCGCTCGATGCAATTCACGAAAGAGAGGAGCGAGCCCGCTCTATACACGCGACGCAGACGTACCCTGTTTTTATTGTTCACATTATGCGCTCGAGGGCAAGAATGATCCCGACTGAGCCGACAAGCTTTCCTTAATGTGTTGCTATTAGTTCTTGCGCTCAAGATATGAATAGTAGTTGTCATTTGTTAGGAACATGCGGTGAGCTCCTTGAGAACACACTTTTGGGGCGAGGGTGCGGTGAAGATAACTTCTGTGCCCAAGTAAAGCTCAGAGTACATACCCGAGAATAGACATTGTGCTATGTTGAAAAGAAAAGAAGGATGTGAGTAAATAGGAAAATGGACAAGAAGTGATAAAAAGATTAAATTACAGATGAGCCCTTCCTTCGGGTTCTCTTGGCCTGGTATACCAGGTTTGGTGTAATATCTGAAAATCAGGAGAAAGAGAAAAAAGAAAACACAGTGAATAAGAACACTATCATGTAAATTGTCACTTTGTGACACTAAAATGATAAGATTGATACCTACATGTATCTAGTCATAGCAACAATTAGCCCGGTGACAAGACAACCTTGAAACATTGATATATCACAATTAAATAATCCAAAATTATAAACATCCTCCCACCTGTTGTCATCTGGGTCCTTTCAGAAAAGGTTTAGATCATTTTCTTCCTGCCGTCTCACAGTGAATCCGTTTGGAATATACGGATCAACGCCTTCAAAAACCTTCAGTCCTGGCAGTTTCGCATCTTTTTCGTGCGCCAGTTGCGTAAGTTGGGCATCAACATCCAGATCAGGTTCGTAATCCAGAAAAGGAGCACCTGCATTCACGGCTTGTCCGTGCTCGTAAATACGGAGAGACTCTAGGGTAGACGGGATATGATCAACCAGATTGAAAGGTTTTGAGTCAATTGGGCCCTTGCCATCTCCTGCACCACGAGCTAAATAGCATAATGCATGGGCTCCAATACTGAGATGCTTGAGTTGTGGAAAGTCTTTCAAGGAGGCGCGCTGTGGTGTGATTTCTGGGGTAGCTATCTCCCGCAGCTCGTCCGCCCATTGCTCCTCATATTCTTTCTGCGCGTCCTCGGTCATCCCTTCTCCTTTACTAGCTGAATATTCCTCGTCATAGAGTTCCTGTCGAGGTGAATGGCCCTCCATATCCAGATTCAGTTGTTCTAGGGTCTGGCGATGGATCAAAAGGGACTTGAATATCGGGGTTACGCATAACGTGGGTATGCCCCCTTCAGGATAACAACGAACCCCCACAGTGGAAGTAAAACTGATCAAAATCTTGGCGGATTACGGCAAAGGTCCCAAGTGTTCATCGCAGAGTGTGTAAAACTAATATTGGTGTAGTTCGCGGAGCGGGGAGGAGGCGGTATTCCGGCTTCATTACTCCAAGTTGCTAGCTTGAAAGCTACCGATTCAACGGCTGATAGCTTGCGAATCATGTTGAGCCGATGATAATATGGATCTTCCTCATACTCGTTCCATTCGTTGAGTGCATCGTCTGGGCGGAAGCTAATATTCCGTAAATTCTGGCAGTATGGTATCGACTCTGGAAAATTGGAAGCATGAGATAGCAATCTTTCGAGAAGATTTACGCCTTCATGAGTCTTAGAGGATGGAAATAGAGAATATCCTAGTAATGGATACATCGAAATAGATTCAAGATTCGGGGCAGCTGCAACTAGCAGCATAACAAGGGCATCCTTGAACTCAAGTGCCTCCGGAACTTCCGGAGTTACAATCAAACTGAATAATAGCAGTCCCGTAGAGGTCCAAACGATGAAGATAATTTCCAAGGGTGGGTGTACGTAAAATCGCAAGCAATGTGTCCAGGCCAGCTTGGAGTCCATCCTCTGAGCTCTGAGGGTACTTCTCTTGACCAAACTGCAATTAGTGATATTCCTGACGATTTTTCATATCACGATGATCATGTATTCCACGGCTTTGTTGCGACAGGTTGTTGTATACGAAAGGTCTATTGGTCACGTTGAGCAGCACTATATAGGGAATGTTCCGAAGGGCCCGCATTTGTATCATAGCGAGGCCGCGTTGCATCATGGGGGAACACAAAGCTCGGGACATCTTTGCGCAAGTCAAGTATAGGAGAAGATGAAAAAGGCCTGAAATTCAGGTCTTGGTGCGATAATTGGCCCCAGAAATCAGGCCACTCTATAACTAGTGCAATCGTATAAAATTCGATGTTGGTAGAAGAAATTCTCAATTAACCTACCTCAACGTGTGGTATTTGTTGGACGAGAACTGAGATACGTCACTATATCACCGGCTACACATAGGAAAGTTCTTCTCACCTTTCTAGCTATGAAACCGATAAGAAAATATATGGAGAAGGAAAGGTGGGAAAGAAATCGTGTGGTCAATTGAGCAAATTGCTGATGTCAAGAAGGAAGACCAATCCAATAATTTGAAGTAGTTCGCAAATCCAGAAAGATCTAAAATCAAAGGGTATATGCCCGCTCCTCCAGGCAGACAGGAATGTTTTTCTGTCGAATGAACCACGAGTTTGTGAGCTGCCACTCATGGTCGCCACTCGGGAGCTTCATCTGTGCCAATTAGTCAATATGATTTCAATCCAAAATATAAATGTTAACTTACGTCAAATGTGTTGAAAAGTGTCGCAATCAGCTTGAAACTTTCTAGCTGTGAGAGGTACCGTCCCAAACATGCACGTGAACCAGCACCGAATGTGAAATCGGTGCTTTTCATCTTAGAAAAGCGCGCCTGGAACTTCTCTTCAGGCTCCCCGGGGGTTTGAAGCCAGCGCTCGGGAATAAATTCTTGTGTTTTGGCACCGAAAACCCCCTCGTTTCTATTGATCACCCATGGATTCATGCCCACAGTGGTCCCCTCGGACACGAAGCGTCCGTCCGGCAGAGTGAGACCATCTTTCGGAACAATACGCTCAATCATGAGGCCAACCCCAGGATTAATGCGCATTGCCTCACGCATCACGGCTTCAAGGTATTTCAGTCCCTGGATTTCTTTCCACTGAACGGGAAAAGAGAGGTTAGCGGTGCGGAGTTCTTCGCAAAGTCTCTTACCAACGGCAGGGTTCTTTAGGACGTGGTAAATTGCCGCGCACATAGTGCTTGCTGTCGAGTCACTACCTGCAAGTACGTTGGATAGTAGCCAGAGGACAAGAATGTTGTCGTCGACAAGTTCGGGATTCTTTTTCTTAACCTGGAGGAACTTAGAAAGGAAATCGCCGTCGCGGTTTCCTTCTTGGTAGCGTTTGTGGAGTTGCTCAAGACTGAAGATAGTAGCCCAGAGAGAAGTCGGGGGTCCAATGCGCTTAATTGGGTTCTTGTCGAATAGATTGTCCAGAAGAGGAATTTGGCAGATCTGTACAAATGTTAGAATGGCTCTCTTATTATGCAACAATTATTTCACTGAACTGCAGCAAAGTAATCAAGCGTCTTAGTTGACTTTCTAAGGAAACCCTTATGGTCACTACCAGCCTCGAGGATACCAAGATCTTGCGAGAATGTGACTTGGCTCATAGTATCCCATGCAACTAAATTGCGGATCAGTAGGTTTCTATCACATTCTCTGAATCAAATATCAATACTCACAGAAGTTGATCCAATCAGACATCTCGCAGTTCTTACCTAGGCCGACAAACCGCGCCCGGAGCTTGTCAACTAAGAGCTTGATAGTAATATCTATATTATTCTCGACGTCTTGAACTTTGCTCATAGAGTATAAGTTCTTGACTGGACGTATATAAGTTGAGTGCCAACTCTCATTCTGATTCGAGAAGAGATTTTTCAGTCGAACACCACCGATGACAATGTCGCTGACATTGTACATATCACTCTATATAGTATATTAAAACGCATGTTCCTCTGTTCTTGACATGGAATTTTACCTTAAGCCAGGGGTTCTTAGTATTATAAACAAGGCTGATTAAGTTGGGATCGGAGAGACTGAGGATGTTCGGTCCCATACGAACAGCGGGCCCGTACCTGCGGTGCAGCTCGCTATGCGTGACATGACAGCTACCCTTGGATACATTTCGCATGCGCCATATGTTCGTGAAACTCGCTAGACTAGGACCGGGAAAAGTCTTCAGTGGGGACCGAAGATAATTCCATAGGAAACGAGAAGCGAAGAGAAGTGCAACGAATAGCGTGAGCTTTGCTATGAGTTCTAGAAGAGAAATCATGATTCTTCAACGTTATCTACAAAGAGTGTATAGAAATATCGAGTAGGCGTTCCTCCATCCCGTTCCTTCAACGATCTTAATAACCCAATGCATTCCACGCTCAGCTCATCTTCCCCGCTTCAAAGCCGCATAATAGCCATCGAAGAAAACGCCACGACAGTAGGCAAGGAGGCAATCACATGAGTAAGATAGTGGACAACGGTGTAAGGCCCAATTGCCAGACCTCAAGGTGCATTGAAAATGGACTCGCACTAGACTGAAAGAGTAGGAAGCCAACTGCGCCCAGCAATACGTGTCCACGAACTATGTGACAGTTGACAACATGTAGATATCTAACATTCTTGGTGTCCGAGTAATCACCAATTCTAGTATATCAAACTGGATCTGGTTATATAGTTTACAAAGTAGATTCGGAGGCTTGGCACGATTATCCGAATGACTATTTATTTGATGCAAGCCCCCGAGATAATTGAATTTCAGTGTGGATTTCTCAATTCGCACCATTTCCTGTTCGATAACTGGATATACCCGATTGAAATTATCAAGGGTGAACTAATTTAGGTACAGATATGCCTTTGATTGAATGTGGGAGTGCCCTTCCTAGTGTGGCAAGGGGTATTTGAGCTCTGCGCACGGGCAGTAGCACCAGCCAGAGCCTTCGTGTGATAGGAGGGAGGCGATTAGCGGTAACACTACCAAGTACTCTGTATCAGCATTGTGACGCATTGTGATGCGAGAAGATATGTACGGAGTACAATTCCCAACTATTGGCCTGCACAGCACGGACCAAATGCCAATAAACAGGAATTTTCAGCCGTTACGACGTATAAAGTAGGTATACGCCCAATGTGATATTTGGGATTTTATATTTATAATAAGGACATAAAAACTAACTATACACTAGATAGATTAATTTTCTATGTATGACCTTTAATGAATGGCCCGATCAGCGCAAGCACGACCTGTCCAGTCTACTTCTCGACTTGTTCGCCAACTCATAACAGAGACCGCCTTTTAGTTGGATTGATTTGTTTCATTAAAACCACTAGCAAGAAAAATAATTGATAGTGACTCAAGCATTATTACCTTGATATCGCTCAGCTGCCCATAGCTATACCCGTGGCGAGACCTTCCTCTTGATCTCAATTCTGCTGTGCTTACGGCCTAGAAAATGGAAAGACTGGTCTTATAAAAATTTCGGAACAGAATTTACTCTTATATTTGTATATAACTAGTTGTGGTCACTGCCAATATACATCGAAAATACACAAATCCAATACCCATACATTCTCATTCTATTAAGTTAGCAATTCTACACCTCGCTATTATTCATAGATATATTTACAAGTATATTGGGAGGTTCTACTGTACCGTAGCTATCATATCATATACCGTACACGTATTCGATGTAACTGCAGTTAAACGACACGGAATGGTACTGCTTCCCAATAAGCAGCAGTACGATCTTCCTTCTATACGAAAACTCGGAAAAGCCAGACTCGGAATATCGGCCCTTCATCAGCCGCAAGTTTACTCCCTCCTTGGAAGGATCATGCGCCATCAACGCTAGGCGAATAATGCTTGAGCTCGGCATCATTCTACTCGAGCTATGGCAGGCACAGACATTTGGCTCATACGTAGGAAAATTCCAAAAACCCTATGAGACCCTGGGACCTCGGTATGATACGGCACGCAACTGGCTGGAGGCCAGTATAGGCGAGATTCTCCTAACCTACGCCGAAGTGGTTACCAGGTGCATCGAGTGTACCTTTGCGATGAGTACTGTAGATATGAAATGGAATGACAAAGAATTACGGAAATCGGTCTATCGCTATGTCGTTAAACCACTTGGAAGCCTTGTTCACCCAAATCTCGGAGAATAGAGACTGAATATACGGAGATAGAGATGAAGATCTTATTATACACATTTCTACTATGGCGCTTCTGTGTTCAGGAATTTGATAACATCGCAGTGGTCTAGGGGTGGTTTTAAAACAATTCTGATAACTGGGCAGCAGCTACATTCAGCCCATACCTCTTCAATTCCAGTTAATCTTTTCTTATCTATTTACCTCTTCAGTACTATATCAACCACATACGACCATAGGGTGTGGAAAACAGGGCTTCCCGTCCGCTCAGCCGTACTTAAGCCACACGCCGGTGAGTTAGTAGTTGGGTGGGTGACCACCAGCGAATCCTCACTGTTGTATGTTTTTTGTTCTTGTTTTTCGTCCCGCCGCCCTACCTCACTCAGTTCAGCCATTCAACCTCTCTTCACCTGACCTCAACACCATTATTTTGCACCTGAATTTCCTATATAGCGCTGAAGCACTTATATGGCATTCCCCTTCTTTGCTGACTTTTCCCTATTGCCTTGTTTCGGTTACAACTCTTTAGTCTGATTTTGGTACATCTTCCACAGGTCTATTACCATCATATCCCCGTTTGGGTTAGCCGGTAGGTGATGTCAGTAGTGAAATGTTTGAGATAAAATTCAATCCTTTACCTAGCAACTTCCATTGCATGTAAAACAATACTACCACATACAGAAGGGAAAGAAAAAAAAAAAGCGTTACCGAGAAGTTTCGGACTCAGCATATTGTAGTTAAATTATCGTCAAATTATCGTCGGGAAAGCTTTCAGGGTAATCACTTCCTGAGGAATAGCATGAGGTGAATGTCAAGATATTGGCCTCAGGCATCAGACATGATGCAAACCCTAGAAACCGCCCGGTTAGTACCTAGCTCGGACACCTGCGTTGCTCTGAATTAACCGTGTCAAAAATCACTTCGACTACCTCTTACTTGACGTTATCCATTACTATAGTCGTGAATACCGTTTATCGATTGATTCTGCTTCAGGAAATCACAATGTGAACTCCAGATCCGAGGAAAGAGGCGTAGCACCTACTCCGCGGTTCACATCTGAAACTTATCTCGACCAAACAGTCAACTACTCCATCTCTTTAACACTACCTCCAGACATGCAATCAGATGTTCTATTTTCAGAAAGAATACTCAGCGAGTCAGAACTCTGGGTCCCAGAGAATGCAGAACAGTTCTATACCTGCAGCATACCTCAAGCGCGGAAGAAGATTGCTCGTATTCAAGCAATCCTTGACACGAATGTCAACACATGCGATCAGATGTTCTATTTTCAGAAAAAATACCCAGCTATTCAGACTTATGGGTTCCAGAAATACCGAAGAGTTTTATACCTACAGCCTACCCCAAGCGCTGAAGAAAAGTGCTCGTATTCAGGAAATTGCCGATACGAATGTCAACACGTATGATCACAGCCTCCTAATCTCTATTCTCGGAAAGCAAGCAATTCGCCAACTTCTACAAAAAAGCCATAGTGACACTCGGGCTACTTTCACCGACAAGAAAATTTTATTCCAAATCATGTCAGGAAATGCGCATGAGCAGGTTATCGTGTTCTGGTATGAACATCAAATGCCATGCATAAAAAGACGTTTGAAAAGAACATCCAAAAACACATCGGATTATTCATATGTACATACATCCCAAATATACCTATGTCCTCCAGGACAGAGGCCACATAAGTAACCGACTGTTCTTGTAGTACTATATTAGAAAAACAAACGGGAGCATGTTTGGTTGAGTTAATTTTGGTTAACTACACATGCCCAGAAAGGCAAGAACGCCAATGATCTAATCGATCTGCTATTGTACAAATTTCAATACCTCAAACTTGCGCCTGAATCTCATCAACGACCCGCCCAAGAGTCCCATTACTCCAGCCATCAACCCGATCACGATCACATGTCTCATACAAAGCACGTGCAAGCGCTGCAAGCTGAGCAGCCTCCCTGGCATCAGCCTCTGCAGCTTGGATCTGTATCCAACTGATGATACCAGAACGGGTGATCAAGGTAGTACTACCACCGACCTGGGCGGCGCGGTAGACAATGTGCAGGATCTTTTGTCGAGCTCCTAGGCCGAGAGTTGGGGATTGGTAGAGGGAAAGAATACGCTCGAAGACATTGGCTCGACGGTAGACCTCCATATCCTAGAGTCAATGTATTAGAAATCGGGACTTGAGAGTGTAGAAAACAAAAGGGTAGCAACTTACAGCCTCGGTGCGGAGTGCCTTGATAAACAGGTTCAGGAGCCAGTCGATCTCATCGAAATATCCATCATCCAACTCAGGCTCGTGCAGGAGGATTTTGTCGACCCAGTATGTTGGGATCTTCTCAACTTCCCAGGATGGTGCCTTCTGCAGGAACTTGTTGACTTTGCCGTAGACCTTGTGGAGGGGGTCTGTGAGAACCTCCAGGCAGTTTGCGGCGCACTCGCCAACAATCCGAGGAACGGGCTTCTCCATGCCAATGTTGTTGACTGTTTCGAGGAGCTCTCCGGCTAGAGTAAACACTGTGCGCCATTCTGCGTAGGTAGATTCCTTGACTTTGGCCATGAAGCGAATAATGTTGGCGAATGCCTGTCTTCGGACCTCTTCATGCTGAGAACAAAGGCAGAGCATCAACTCGGCGACATGACCCTGGTCCACTGCTTCTGCGATGTCTTCTCTTTCCCATTTGTTGAGGGCATTGTGGGTCGTGCCTTCGGTGGGCAGGAATCCAAAGATCTCATCGAGATCAACGGTAGAGGCTTTGTTAGACGAACGAGGCACGTTAGAGCCAGAGTCAATGTCCATTTTATCTTCATCATCGACATCATCTGCCTCCTTCAGGGACTTCTTAAGAAGAGACTTGGCTTTCTTGGTCTCAGTTGCTTCAACAAACGCATCCCGAGCAGCTTTGAGTACCTTGATGCTCTCACCGGCCTGCTTCAGATTACCCAGAAGGCTTGCAATCCAGGATCCAACGGCAACTTCCGTGGATGCATCTCCACCCTTGACGACAAATGGCCATTGCTCAACAATGGCAGCAACGAGCGCACTGGTAGTTCTGGACACATCCTCGGATAATGATAGTAGCAAATCCTGGTAGTGAACTGGCTTCTTGGCGACACGTGAGACACAGTTATCGAAGAAAACTAGCTGTTGATGCAAAGCATCGGCGTCAGAGTTCTCAAGGCTTGACAAGACAGATGCGAATGCATGTGGGGAGCTTTGCAGAACAGAGTTATCAACCAGAACGGTTTTGAGCAGGGTAGAGATACGTCGCGAAGAGTCCTTATCTGAAGTATCCATGAGAACCTTGAGAATCGAGGTGAAGGGTGAGTATTGCATGGATGCTGGCTTTTGCCACCAACGCAACGAGGCAGACTGTTGTGCAATCTGGAGGATGCTCTGAAGTTGACTCAAAAGCGATTCGGAATCGTCAGCGCTAACGTCTGGGGCTTCCAGTCGTTTGAGAACATCCACCAAGACTAGTGAGACGTCAAAGTTTTCCTCTAGAGCAATGTCCGGCATCACTTCATAGTAACAGGTCAAGAGCTCTGCAACAGCCTCCTGCTGGGTCAGATCATCCTTGTCTGTTCTTCGGAAGAGGACAACTACATCCTTGACAGCAGGGCACCGACGAGAGAACTCTGCCAACAACTTTGCAGAAGCCTGGTTCCAGAATAGCTGACCTTGGTCGTGATCGGCCTGGAATATTTTGAGGACAGCTCGCAGCTTGGTGAACGCGAGAGTCAGAATCCGCACGGCAAACAAAGTGATGATCTCCGCATTCTGGTTGAGACAGCGGGTCATAATCTTCTGGCCAAGAGGACGAGGGAGAATACTTTCAATGACGATAGAAACCGGTGGTGGCAGGATAGGCTGCTTATCCTTCCAGCCACAGTTTGCAGGGACGGGTAACTGCACAGTTGAGAAAAGGAAAGCCGACTCTGCCATCCATGAAGGGGTAACTTTAGGATCTGAGATGAACATAGTTTTCCTCGAGAAGTAATCAGCAACCAGCTCTGGTGCTACCCTGAAGATTGACACCAGCAGTTCAATCTGGAGACTATCCACATCAGGCCGGAGACACTGGATGAGGAATGAAAGGGAACCATTTCGCACGGGGACAGAGTCACGGTATTTGTCGACATAGATGGGGGAATCAAGGCCCAATTCAATGCATGCATCATCATCAACAGCCAAGGTCTCTGGGTCGGTTCCGACAGGATACCAGCCAGTCTCGGGCAAGAGAACGCCGAGACCGGCGGTCTTGCAGACATTCATCATGACTCGGTGGATCTCGTTAGCGATGATAATTCCTCCGGCATTGGGTTCATCTGATTCCCGATCGTAGCCATAAAGCGTCACCAGTCGTTCGAGGTTGTGTCTGTTGAAAAACTTGCTCTTCGATTTGCGAGGCAGAGCCGAATCTTGTACCACGTCCCTCTCAATAGCCTTGATAATTTCTAGTACAGTATCCCGCGAATCCTTCCGGATATATTCGAGGAAAGACCTGGTGATCTTGTGCTGTTCGATGATATCGCCTTTCTCAGAAGCAGCCTGAACTCTCAGGTTCGCTAGCAGGTATCGCTGAGCATTGCGTCTGAGGGTCGACTTCTGGGCCTCGCCCTCTAATATTTCCTGTGCTTTGTTGGGAGTCAAGAAGACCTCCAGTCGCTTAAATGTAATGTATCGCCGAAGGTACAATTGTCGGGCTACTGCTCCTCCGTCAAAAGTCACAATCTCCGTAAGCAAACGCAGACATGGTGAGATCAAGTGCTCTTTGGATTTGGTTGCCGTCAGACCGCGGTTGAATAATCTCAGCTGGTCTTTCTGCAGCAAATGCTTGCACAGGGCAATTCCGAATTCTCGGAACTCCAGTTCCGACGAAATTGTCTTCAGGAAGATCGCAAGAACAGAAGGCACACTTGTCAATAAAGGTTCATTGTTATTGGCATCGCCAAATGACCAAGATTGGATGAGGTCTGCAAAGCAAACTGAGGTCTCATCCTCCTTTCCGGAGTTGGTGATTTGCTTATCGCAATATTCCTTGAGGACACGCAATTTCTCTGCTTTGTTGCTTTCTTCCTCCGTGTGTGCAATCGACACTAAGAACTCTTTAAATTTGATTATACCTATTTGGCAGTCAGTTTTGGCGTAGCTTTAGATGCCTTCCGATCTGCCTCACCTTGCTTTGCCAACGGGGCATTTTGCTGGACAGCCAACAGTTCGCGTAACGAAGCAGCAGACTTGATATTAGATGTGACGACCTGTTTCTCTGGCTTAGGATCATCAATCTTTCTTCTCTTCGCCCGAGAGGGATGTTCTGTGATGTGCGACATAATTTGATGGAGTGGTGTTGTAACTTATTTTTTTTTTATCTTGAGATCCGATACCATCGACATTTCCAGCTCGTTGATTGGCCGAAGGCTCCCCGCCCGGGACAAAAGTGTGGATACACCGCCTCTTTCTGCTGGATTAATATATAGGCGGTGTGCTATTAGCCTGCAATAAGTGGAGACAACATCATTTACATCATTCGCTATAGTTAGTTAACTAGTTAACTAGTTAACTAGTCAACTATAACTAACTACCAAGTAGAATCTATAAGGGTCAATTCTCTCTGTCATTCGTATGATATCTTTGAAATGATAGCTTAACCGGGTTGGCAGCGATGTTCATGTACGGGAACGATACTTAACCCTCTATTGACGGTGATATGAATGCCCCAATATGTACAACCTCATACGACATTACCAAAGCTGACGGGTTGTTTTAACTCCGTGTCTAATGCCGAGCCGAGCTTATATACTAGTCGTAGATACAATTCCCAGGCAACTAAGTCAGCCACGCTACCTAAAAGGGGCTAGGTCGAGGGATTGTGCAATGTTTGACTGCTACCTAGAGCCCCCTGCACATTATTGCCCACGCTGAAACGTGTTAAAATACTTGCTGTATGGCTTTAGGCCCCCAATTTGGTCAGGACTTTTCATGTAGTCATATAGCTCCCCCTTCCATTCTTCTTCTTCCTTACTCTCTCCGTTATTTTTGATAGTGAATGCCACCATTCTTTCCATCGAAGTCCATTATTAGGTAGCATTTCCTTAGAACACTTTCTCTTTACATCCACCAGCTCATCCTCTCAGTCAGAATTTAACGGCCATCAAACTTTCTCCTTATTCTTCATAATGGCATTTGTCATTCAGCCCTGCTCCCCGGAAGATGCGCCGGGCCTTGCAGCGTCTATGATGCGTGCTCGACTCACCGATCCTCACTGGAAGTGTCTGTGGGAGGACCCATCTGCCGAAAATATTATTCCTAGAGCTATCAAGCGCCTTCCTTGGACTTTGACGACTAATAGAGAAATCAAGCGGCACCAGAAGGCTATCGATATCGAGTCTGGTCAAGTGGTGGGGTATGCTCGATGGTCCCTCCCTCCAACCCTGGCAAAGAAGGGCGACGTCTGGCTTGAGGCACAGGTAACTGAAGGCACTCCCGCAGATCGTGCAGTGTATGAAAAACAGTACCAAGAGAACACCCGGGATGGACAGCCTATAGGCATAAAGGGCGGGGAGATGATGCGTTATCGCAGTGCGCCTCTGGAAGAAGCAGATGCTCGAATTATGCTAGATGGACCCTTTCTGAGTAAGATGCACACCGATCACATAGAGGTGGATGGCTGATAACACTCTCCAGCTCTTGATTATTTGACGACAGACCCTTCTTTCTGGCGCCGGGGTATCGGGAAAATGCTTGTACAAAGCGGACTGCAGATCGCAGATCAACAAGGAATAAAGTCCTATGTTATGGCAGAGCTGCCCGGATTAAAGTTATATCTCAGCCTTGGCTTTCAACTAGTAGAGACAGTGTCAGTGGATTACACCCAGTATGGCGGAACGGAGCCCATGGTGGTGTATTTCCTTGTTCGCCAGCCATGTCAGCTAGAGTCCGCGAGTGCGTGATGATAACGCAGAATATCTACTCTTTTTCGTATTGTTTTCTCATTTCATATCCGCTTCTCCCTTTAACAATACTAAAGGCTACCCTATGCTACAATGGCCTCGAGAATTTAGACCTCTTAAATACTTTTCTTGGCTTGACAAGCAAACGATTCCCGTCGGTTCTCATGATTATGGTCACCAATGGTGGCAGTGGAGTTGTTTGCACTCGTTGGCTGTGTAAAAATTCAAGTTACGAGAAGTTGGCGAGCAACATGTGTTATGATGCTGAGTACTACGAATGAAGCTTTGTCACAATTCTGTATATTCTCTCGTCTTTATCTACCTAACACTTGTGCATCGCTTATCTTCTGTTGCCACATATTAACCATATCACAGCTGTATCTCTATGATATCGATGTGAATTTCATTTCTATATTTCCGAAGTCTCACGTTTCATCCCATCCCACAAACCAGAAAACAAATTTGATGGGCTGTTCATACCATCTCATTCTTCGATATATTCCTTTCCACTCTCGCTCCCCAACTTCTTTATCACGAATTACCACAACAGCGATGTCATCCAAAGCCAAATGGTCGAGCTGAACAACCCCATAAAGGATGTTACAGTCCTCGATACCAAGATGATTAGCACTGCTCTTCGTTAACGGATTGGATTATGCCAGGAGAGGATGGGCAAGACCTCGAATGGAGACTCCTATGGAACACATTCAGCGCAAGATCAATAAAATGTACTTCCATCACAAAAAGACCCAGATTCGCCAGCCTTACTAAATTGCAAAAGCCAGAGGCTGTACAATGGATGGGTGCAATATTAAGCACACTACAATAGCCGCTGCTGGCACGACAATTAAAGTCCCCAAGCACAGAGATGATAGACCTGTAAGCGACAAGAACATTTGACAACCCTACTACTCCGTAGAATCTACTGACATGACTAGATGAATTCCGCTTTGGGCGATGAGTAGGTTTTTGCTGCGAAGTATATGGACTCATCTATCTAGGAGTATTCATTGGGCTTCCATCTATTCTATAGTCTGATTTCAATACATTTTGGCTATTTGTCATTCACCCTCTTCTGTGGAAAAGACTATCCTGTATTGGCTCTGAGTTGACTTAACAGAAGACTCAAGCAAAATTTCCCTTCTATCCAACAAGAGTAGTCGGCCGTGTATGTGGTCTCTTCCCTCAAGGATGTATGAATTGAATAGTCCGATTGGCTGAAAATGATATAACTGACATTGTATGTAAAATAATACTCCAATCCCTGTTTTGTATGTTCTCTTTGGACGCCTTTTTAGATTTCTTTTTTTTCTTTTCTTTCTACATTTTCCCCCTCGGCTTATCATTAAAATTATAATGAATAATACTAGTACGGAAGAGCGCCGGAGGCATGCCGGGCTTATTACTCTACAATATGCATACAAAAGACAGTGAGACTGCTGCCTGAAGCTGCCTACATAAATGAGTTAGATACCTAGTAACCTAGGCAGATAACTTCCCTTTAAGACATAACCTGATGCCTAGTGAGGCTCCTTCCATTTTGGGCCACTCGTCCCCTACCCCCATCATCTTAAGCCACTGAGAAATTATAAATACCTTCCTCCTCCCCACTTTCTTCCTTCTTCCTTTCTTTCCCCATAGCTCCGGGTTCTATTGCCTGCCCCCAACGTGGTTCCTGTTGTCCTGTGAAGAATTCCACACCTCTGAGGGCACTGGGCGTCTTTGCCGCGGCTTGGGTACCGACTGCCAGACTAGGGGCAACCCTAGTCTAAATGACACGAAGTATGTTGTGGCCCGGAACAGTCCCGTATGGGACTTAGTACCCCCACGACCTCTGCGGATACATTACGTCACTTCCCACTCTCTCCATCGCGTATCTGGGAGCTTCCCCCCCGTGTTCAAAGAGCTTGGTCATTGAACCAATTTTTGGAACCTGTCTTAACAGAGATAGCCCTCTGTTTCCCTATGAAGAGTACTCTGAGGGTATTTCTAAGGTTCCTTTCTATGGTTCCTTGTCTTTGAAATCGTCTACAGAGATAGTCCTCTGTTTCCCCATGAAGAGAATTCCGAGGGTATTCTTCTCTTCTTTTGAAGGTTCCTTCCAAGGTTCTTTCATGGTTCCTTCATGACTGTGCTGCACTAGATAGGGAGGAGGGCTTGATGTATTTACGATGAAGGCTTTGTACTACTATTGTCTACGAATCATATGTGTTGAATGGAACAGACATTTGATTGTTCCCATCTAGATATCATACAAGAACTAGGTTCAGAACAAATAACTCCGATATTTTAAGCTAAGTGATTCATGCAGAAGTGCAATGGTAGAGAGACATAAGACGCAAAAAGGAAAAAAAAAGCACCATTGCAACCATAGCTGGTATCTTGGAAAACAAAAATCAACCCCAAGTTCCACCACCACCGCCTCTGCCCTGTCGGCGCTGGGCAGAGATACGCCAATCGTCTTCGCCAGCAAAGCGGTTGTGCAGAGGCTGGATGCGCTCGGCCTTCTTACGCTTCGACAATCGATCCGTAGGCGCAACCTTGAAGAAAGTGGGCGCCGCCTCGACAAGCCATTTCGGCTCAATAGCAGTAGTACAGTGCATATACTCCTTGCTTGTAAGGACCAAGGTGTGGTAGATAACGTGCTCGGCCGGTTTGCCAAACATCGCGGAACTGGGATGCATATACACAGGTGTTCCTTCCACCAGGGTCTTGTATCCTTCCTGGGGGTCTTTGCGCGCTGCGTTGCGGAAGAAGCCGGTGCACAGGGACTGTCGCACTTTCATGGTATCCCGGCCACACGAGACGATGCGGTGCTTGTAGCGGTTCATGATTCCCAGCAGCTGCTGGCGCACATCTTGGGCACGCTTGATCTGTCGTGCTTGGATGAAGTTCTCGAAGCACCAGGAGTTGTTGAAGCCAGCCTGTTTCCAGCCGTTGTAGACGTTGAGGAGGGTTAGATGATCGCCATGCGGATCGTGGAATTTGGACTTCTTCTGGTCTGCTTGTTGCTGCTTTTCTTTAGGGCGGTAGAACACAGACTGGATTGACAGCATGGCGACAATGCTGAGCATTTCATCGGAGCAGCCCGAATCCACGGATGCAATGAGCACCTTGGCAAGCGCAGGCTCCATGGGGAAATCAGCCATCTTTCGTCCGAGCCGAGTCAAAAGACCCTCATCATCAAGTGCTGACAAGGCATACAGTTCTTCAAGCGCTGTCAACATGGTGTTGGTTGGTGGTGGGTCCATGAAATCGAAGTGGAGGAGGTCGTTGATACCCATTGCCTTGAGCATCAAAATGGTATGTGAGAGGTTCTGACGCTGAATTTCGGGAATGGATGTTGGAAGCATTTCGGACTGATAGGCAGCCTCCGTATACAATCGGAAGCACTTTCCTGGTCCTGTTCTTCCGGCACGGCCAGCTCTTTGCTTAGCTTGCGCTTGGGAAATTGGAGTCACCACAAGGGAATCCATGCCGAGCTTCGGATCGTAGGCGTTCTGCTTCACGAAACCGGGATCAATGACGTAGTAAATCTGATCAATTGTGATCGAAGTCTCCGCAATATTGGTGGCAATGACGACTTTACGTCCACCTGGGGGTGCCGGATCGAAAATCCTACTCTGCATCTCACTGGGTAGTGCAGAGTAGACAGGTAGGATAACCAGTTCAGGGACAGAAGGCCCCAAAGCTTTCATGCGCTCGAATAAGATCTCGCATGCTGTATCAATCTCTTCTTGGCCAGTTAAGAAGACCAGAATGTCACCTTGTGGTTCTGTCAAATGAATTTGCATGACAGTGATAAGTGCAGCATCCAGATAATCAGATTCAGGCTCCTTGGAGTACATGACTTCGACAGGGAAAGTTCGGCCGGGGATGGAGAAAATGGGACAGTCGTTGAAATATACGGAGAACTTTTCAGCGTCCAGTGTGGCGGACGTGATGATCAATCTGAGATCAGGTCTTCGTTTGACTGTCTTTTTTAACAATCCGAATAGGATATCAGTCGCGATTGTCCGCTCGTGCGCTTCGTCGAGCATGATAACGGAATATCTCTTGAGATCTGGATCCAGAAGAATTTCTCTCTGGAGCATTCCATCGGTCATGTACTTGATTTTGGTCTCTGGGCTGGTACAATCCTCGAAACGGATGGTATATCCAACCTCTGCTCCGAGCTTGCAGCCAACTTCCTCGGCCACACGTTTAGCCACTGACATGGCAGCAACACGACGAGGCTGGGTGCAACCAATGATTCCGTTGTTTCCGTATCCGCCCTCGGCTAGGTACTGTGTCAACTGGGTGGTTTTTCCAGAACCTGTATCTCCGACGACAATCATCATTTGATTGTCCTTCACTGCGTCCAGCAATTGTTTCCGGAACTTGTAGACTGGCAGACTTTCGCGTTGTTGTTTTATGGACATGTTTGTCCGCTTTCCAAATGATGCGTTCTTGCCCATCGTCGATCTCTTCCACTCCGGTACAGCCTCGTCCTGTTTGGGCTGCTGAGCAGTTCGAAGATCAGAAGCAAACTTTCTTTCTTCCGGTGCAACCATGGGGTCCTGCCATTGAGCATTAAGATCGACGTCCGCCGCCTTTTCGGCCGCTCTGTCTTGTGCTTCCTGCTGCTTCAATTCACGTCGCTCCTTGGCAAGGTTAGTGCCTGCCATTGCAGAACGGTTCATTGAACCATCGGGAGCCTTGACAACACGGATAGGAGAAAGTTCAAGGGATTGTTTCGTTTGGCCAGCCAGGAAAGGAGGCTCCTCATCTCTGACCTCAATGTCGATATCTTCCTCCTCTTCGAAAGTGCCCTCGCCGGTGAGCGTTGCATTATATTCATCATCGATGTCGGGATAATCTGCTGCAGAGGCAACGCCGGAGGCAATCAATTGTCTAATCTCCCACCGCTCTGGCGAAGTCATGCGCTTTCGGTTCCTCATTGGCCGACCTACGGACCCTTCAATGACGGGCACATCGGAGGCGAGGCTACCGTAATTCTC